TATTTGACATAATCGAAAGTTCAAGTTTACTTTTATAAAATTGCTCTTACAGTCAGCAAAAAATAATAAGCGCGATCCATTTCGAAGATTAAGGAACAACGCAATCATTAACATTAACTGAAATAGATAATTAGATAATTTTAGCTTACACCGTCTGTTATACATTAAACGCGCAGGCGAAAACGTATTGTGTACTTGCGCACACGCATATGCGCAGTAGTCAAGGTCTTACGCGCACGCGTAAAACGCCTGTGCGCATGTGCCAATGCGGCGCATGCGCAGAAAGTTTTAAAGTTTTTAGCTTTGAGGTCCGGATTATAGATCATTCCGGATTATGGGTGTCCGAATTAACGACTTTTGACTGTAGTTATCGATATACATTAAATAGTGATGATTGCAGTGAGTTATCAGTACTTAGTAGGCAACCCTTTATTTTTGATTACAGCTTCACATCGACATTTCATTGAGCTGACAAGAGTTTTAAGCACTTCTTTCGTTATTACATGATGCCAGGAAACAATTATAGCATCAATTAGTTCCCTTTTATTTGATGGGCGCCTTATTCAGACAAGAGTTTTCAAACGGTGCCACAAAGTTTCGATAAGATTGAGGTCAGGACTGTTTCCTGGCCATGACAACAATTTAATGCTCCTTGTACGAAACCACTCTTTCGATATTTTGGCAAGGAGCAGAATCCTGCTGAAAAATAAATGAAGCATTGTTGAAAAAGAGATCTCTGATGGAAGGTAGAAGTTTTGGTTCTAGAATAGTGTCAATGTATTTTCTGGCATTCAGTGTCCCGTCGATGACATGAAGGCGACCAATACCATCTGCTGACATGCATGATCAAATCATAACACTAACTGGGTTCTTCACAGTTGCTTGAATGCAGTCAGGATGTAGCTGTTCTCCTATTCTACATCTTACATATTTTCGCCCATCACTACCAAATAACGATATCTTAGTTTCACCACTCCATATAACTTGTGACCACTGATCATCTATCCAATTAATGTGTTCCTTTGCCCACTGTAGTCCTTTTTTTCGTTGCTGAAAATTAAGATAAGGCTTTTTTTTGTGGAATTCTACCTCTCGGTCCAACATCTGTAAATCTTCTCCTGATTGTTCTTGAACTGACAGAAACACCAGCATCATTCAGTGCTTCATTTTATCATTATTTACAAATAGAACAGTACCTGTGAATCATAAATTTTAAAGCTAAAAGTAGCCAAACAAACATTTTTTGCATATTCATAGTGACTAGTAAGTTGATGACTTTTCATGTTGGTGTGGTAATCCGAAAATAACAAAGAATTTAATATATTGGGTTTATCGGAAAGTCATGTCGTATTTTGCTAACAGATGTCGTAAGTGCGTTTTTTTGGAGTAGAAGCACCATGCGCATGCTCCTCACTGAAATACTATATAAGGTCATACTTCTAACCCATTCAATAAACTGAAAATTGTTCGATTCGAATGAGTTGAATAGATTTTATACAGAGTTGAAAATGGAGCGAAAACTTAATTTTCGCTATGTTTTGTTTCTTTTATTTCCGCAAAGGCAAGAAAGTGACGCAAGCTTGTGAAAAGTTACATAAAGTTTATGGAGATGATGCTCTAATGACATGCCAATGCCAGCACTGGTTTGTGAAATTCCGTTCTGGCGATTTTGATGTGAATGGTGCACATCAGTCAGGAAGAACATAGGAGGTTTCACTGACAAAATAAAGGCAATGGTTAAGCCTAAAATGCGATACACAACATGAGAGATTACAGAGGCACTACACATTGCTCAATTAACTGTTCATGACCATTTAAAGAAGCTCGGATTTGTAAGCAAGCTTGAAGTTTGGGTTCCTCATGAGTGAAGGAGATCCATTTGGTGAAGCGTTTGAGCATCTGCCATTCCCTTCTTAAGCGTGAAGAAAACAAACCTTTTCTGAAGCGTATGGTCACTGCTGACGAGAAATGGATTGTGTACAATAACGTCGCATGCAAGCGATGTTGGAAACAGTGGGATGAACCACCTCAATCCACGTCCAAAGCAAACATTCACCTGAAAAAGGTCATGCTGTCAGTGTGGTGGGATTTCAAAGCTGTTGTGCATTTTGAGCTCTTACCGAGGAATCAAATGATTAATTGAGCCGTGTACTGTCAGCAATTGAACAATGCAGTCAATCAAACAGAACTCGTGAATCATGAAGGTGTTGTATTTCTCCAAGACCACACACGAGTTTGGTTACCCGCCAAAAGGCCGTCGGAGCTTGGGTTGGGATGTATTGCCCCATCCACTGTACTCACCTGTCTTTGCACCTTCAGATTACCATTTGTTTTGCTCTTTGCAGAATTCCTTGAACCATAAAACATTTGATTCCAATGAGGCTATAAATCAGCACCTGGTACAGTTTTTCTCTTTTAAAGACAGGCCATTCTAGCAGCATGGAATTATGAACCTTGTTGAACAATGGAAAAATTAATTGAACAAAATGGCCATAATAATATTGATTGAATTTTTATTTTGATAGGAATAAATCACTTTTGAAAAACATAGTAAAAAATACAACATGACTTTCCGATCAACCCGATGTTAATAAGTATCATTAATGGTAAAACTATATTTACGGTTACCCCCTGGCGATAATTAGCAGTACATGGACACCGAGTTTGAGCAATTCTTTGACTTATTATTGTGACTTAGCGTACACTAATCCAAAGTAACAAATCAGAGAATTGTACACTCGATATCCATGTACACATCGACCTGTTTTCACTTAAAAAAATATCAGAGAATTGCACAAACTAGACATTGTGCACTCCTTTGACTTTATCCATGTACACATCAGTCTATATTCATTTAAAAAGTCAAAGGAGCAGCCAACAAAAAATATATAATCTCAATAAACTACATTTTAAATCAAACAATGAAATAAAAAAGGAAATTCATCTTAGCACTACACAAAGGAAATATCCACTTACTTTATTTTATGAATTAGCATGTCTCCAGTCAGTCAAAATTCCTTAACAGTATCCAAAACCTTTCCAAAAGTATCTGAACTAGAATCTGTATACTGGCATCACCACATAAATTCACAAAATAAGATAAAAAATATCCTACATAGTGCCGTTATTGTCCGATGTTCGATCATAAGCATTTCCTTCCTACAAACAGGACACTTATAATGGGCTACTAAGTAAACCTTTATTTACACACCAGTCAATTAATGCTTTTTTCTTTCTCGTTCCAAATCATACAGAAACTTCAAATTAATCTTACCATATTCAGCCATTTTACCATGTATACTAGAAAATAACAACATACTTCTTATCCAAAATCAGACACGCAAGCCTTTCAAAGTCTTCCCATCATTCAAATTCACTGCAATCATGCACCGAATTAGATCATAATAGGGTTTCCATAGCATTCAACTAAGGTTACCATAAATGAAGCATCAACTTGGTGATAAATGAAACAACTCAGAAATAATCCAAGGGGCACCCTTAAATCTACTCCAACCTCATTAATTAATACTCTGATTCAAATCTTTTATTAGTTTATGTCAATAGGAAGCTGGTCCTGCTGTGAGTTCAAGTCAGTCAGTGAAATTTTTAATATCTTTAGGGCAGTGATATGGAAGGAGCGATCCTAATAATTATGAAGCAAAATTTAGATCACAAGTGTTAAATATTCATTATAATTATATTAAAATGTGCATTATAAATTATGTCATTACAAGAGAGTGTGGAGTTGAACAGTCTAATTAGAGATACTGGATGAAATAAAAAAAATTATTAATGGATACAGATTCAAAAAAGGGAGCCTTATATGCATTTCAAGCCAGAAAGTATTCAGAAACTGACTATGAAATTTTAAGTTACATAACATTATAAAATGTATTATAATAACAATAATATAAATTTCCCTCCCTTCAAAAGTTGTATATACCATGTAATTTTTCTCTCAAGTTTTTCAGGCTGCTTAATCAGTGAAGAAAGGAGAAATATATGGAAATAAATATGATATTTAAATCCTCCAAAATGAAAAGAGATTTAATTATTAGCATGAATTTCAGTAGTAAATTTAAGATTGAGCTCTGAGATTGTTTACTTGCAAAATCCTCAAAATTAGCATAGTGGGATTTTGTATAAGCAAGTAAAGAATCTGATAAAATTTTGAAATTTGACAAATGATCTCTTGAACATGTTCTCAGCCAAAGCTGAGATGGTAAATGTCTTTCACGTCTGCCAAGATCCTTTCTAAATTTTTGTGCTTTTAAATTATTTTCTGTTTTGTTATTTAAAATAAGATATAACAGATTACTTTTAGCAGTAAATAAATTCAAATAAGTATACTTGTAATTGCCATATGATATAATATTCTTGCTCCATGTTTGAACTGTGAGATAAATTGAAACTAAATAAACAATATTCACCCATTCTGCAGCATCATATGAAACTTCTCTGCGTACGATAAATTATTTTCCATTAGTTTACACTAGCCATGGAACAAGAATTTGAGCAGATTGTTTATAAGATTTCCCAAGTAAATAATGACCCCCAGAAAAAAATGGATTTCATGTGTAAACATTTTGTATCTACGTTTTGAGACATAAATGATCTATTTCAATTCAGCAAGTATATTATTTAGTCCCTTACTGTATGCCAAACACCTAAACCCAACATGCATTTGCTATGGCAATGCTAGTACTTGATGATTTATGTAAGGTTATCAATAACAAGTTATCTCATAGTTGGCAAGTGAACTCACTTTGCTAATTATAAGTAGTTGGGAAAACGTATTAAAATTGACATCATTAAATCTGCTTAAAAGTTGTTTTCTGAAAATAACTTTTCCTCTTTTGCATAAATATGCAAAAGAGAAATTCCTCAATTATATTTTTAACTTAATAAATTTTATGTAACCTGTGTTAGTAATATCTGTTTTCAAACTGGTTTTCTTCAGCTAATAGCTTTTTTTTTTTTTTTTTTCTTTTAACTCTTAGGTCATTAAATTTATGGTTCTCTGAGTGATTGTATGGACTTCTAGAATGAATCAGCTTACTGAAGAACAGCGTAAGAGAATTGAAGAAAACCGACGCAAAGCCCTCGAAAAAAGAGCTGCTAGATCTGCCCTTGAAAAAGGGAATAAGTCAACTAGTCAAGCTGTAAAAGAAATTAATTTAACAAATACAAGTTCCTTTTCTAAAAATTCTTTTGAGCCAAGTAAGAGCAGTGAAACATATGCTAATAACATTGCCGTAAAGAACACTATTTCTATAGCTTCAAATTCATCTTTGTCTTTGAATGTTAAAAATGAAAATACTATTAATTATAATTTATTTGGCAAAGAAAAAGAAACTATTAGGGGTTCATGTGTGCTTCTTTCTCGTAAGCGATTTTATGTAGATGTGGGTTATCATAAGGAAATGATTGATATTTTTAAAACCATCCCCAGTAGACTTTATGATGTTAAAACAAAAAAATGGAATTTTTTAATTGAGGATCATGATAAACTTATTTCACTTTTAAAGCCTTTACAACAAAAGGTATTAATAGCAGGATTACCTCGAGTGCTATTAAAACTTTTTAATAAAACAACTGAAAATAGGGAGATTAATGATTGTGATTTATCAATGTTAGATCCTGTTTTGTTGAATGCTTTACTCCCTTTTCAGAAAATTGGTGTTAAATTTGGGGTACAGCATAAAGGTCGAGTTTTGATTGCAGATGACATGGGTTTAGGGAAAACCATACAAGCCATTGGAATTGCTGATTATTTTAAAAATGATTGGCCCTTGTTGGTTGTAACACCTTCATCAGTGAGGTACATGTGGCTAGAAGCATTCCATACCTGGTTGCCATCTTTAAATAGTCAAGAAGTAACTGTTATAGGTTCAAGTAAAGAACACATTCCTAATGATAAAGTGATTATAATGAGTTACGATTTATTGACAAAAATGCAAGGTGCCATTGAAAAAAGAAAATTTAAAATGGCTATTATGGATGAATGCCACTTTTTGAAAAATCCGAAATCTGCTCGCACTAAAGCAGCAGTTGCCATCTTAAAAAGTATCAATCGAATTATCATGCTTTCAGGAACACCTGCTCTTTCTAGACCTATTGAACTTTACAGTCAATTGTCAATTTTGCGGCCTCGTGACTTTTTCGGTTATGTAGAATATGGCATACGTTATTGTAATGGCAAAAAAGCATCATGGGGCTGGGATTTCCATGGCTCTTCTAATATGGAAGAATTACAAATATTACTTGAAGAAATTGTAATGATTCGGCGGCTAAAGTCAGAGGTTATTAAACAACTTCCAGCCAAATATCGTCAGATGATAGTTCTTGATCCATCTCTTGTGCCTGCTAAAAAGATTTTGAAAACTATGGCAGGACAACTGAAAGAAAGTACACTGAAAGGCATGGAATGGCGAGGGGTGCTTCTACAATATTTCCATGAGACTGGTGATGTAAAACTTAAAGCTATATGTGAATATGTCTTGGACTTACTGGAAAGTGACAGAAAATTTGTTTGCTTTGCTCATCATCAGAATGTTTTAAAGGGTATATGTGAAGCTGTTGAAAAAAAGAAGATTGATTACATACGCATAGATGGTTCAGTTAATGCTGAGCAGCGTAAAAAACTCTGTGATAAATTCCAGCTGCAAGATACTTGCAGAGTAGCTATATTGAGTATAACAGCAGCTAATTGTGGCATCACACTGACTGCTGCAAGTCTTGTGGTTTTTGCAGAACTTTTCTGGAATCCTGGTATTTTAACGCAAGCTGAGGACAGAGTTCACCGAATTGGCCAGGAAGACTGTGTTGTTGTGCAGTATTTGGTTGCAAGAGGAACAGCTGATGATGAAATATGGCCTCTTGTACAAAGGAAATTAGATACTTTGAATAAAGCTGGACTTAGTAAAGATACTTTCATGAATGCAGACACTGTTGTCCAAGAAAATTCTTTGCAGCCTCGATTAGAAGATTTTTGGAATGAGCTTAATACTTCTTTGGACATCTCTGAATTAGATGATAATTTTGATGCCCCTGAAAAGCGACTTAAACTGGATAGCTGATCAGTCATATGTGAAACTAAAACTGTATGTGTCTGCTTTAAGTACACATTAGGTTTTTCCTTATATTATTTGATAAATGTGTGCAATATATCAATTGTTCATGCAGTTATGAAAGAAAATTCCTAAGCATCAAGTTCAAGACAAAGGATTCATTGAAATACTTTTAAGAATATTTTCAGTATTTCAGTACTTTTAAGATTGTTTTTAAATTCTAATTGTTTAAGTAAAATTATACAGAAAGTTTTAGTCTTAAATGTGTTTTTGCATTTTTAATCTTTTCGCTGTACTTCCTGCCATTATATATATATATATATTAATTTTTGTAGAAGATAAAGATTGGCATTACTAATGAAGAATCTGCTTTTGTATTTATTGTGTCAAATTAGAAGTTAGATATCCAAATGTTTATTGCAGTATAAAAAACTGTAAAACCTTTATGGAGTTTTAACAATGTATTCTATATGCATGTATCATGGGAAATTTCAAATTAGTGTTTAATATCTATTCATGGTAAAATAGGTAGTACTTCTTTTGCCAAGTAAGCTAAGAAGAGCAAAATTTTACTTAATGTAGTTTAAATTAGAAATATATATATTTTTTTCAAATTTTTCATGATTTGTTGTAGAAGTTCATTATCTTCTGTGCATTTGAAAATAAATGCAATCTTTTCACTGTATTGTTAATTTTTTATATATATGATGATCTGAACAATAAATTTTAAACTATGTCTAGTTAATAAAATGTGAAATAGATGTTCTTTGTTTGCCCTCCCTTTGCTATGTTAGAATGTGATTGAATAATTAATTATACAAGCATACAAAATTTTATTGGTAGAATTTTATCATAACTTTGGAGACATCAACACAATAAAACATTATTTTATTTTTAATGAAATCTTATGACAATTGGAGATTTATATCATTCAACAATAACAATAAAAGGGAACTGGTTACTAGTTCCCACCCGAACATCCTTTTACTAATAACTTTTCTTCAGAATAATAATGTAGGCAAATGCTTCATTATACTTTGTAATAATTAAGATACTGCTGTTGACCACTTGTAATGTATTGTACACAGTAACCTTTTGCTTTTGTATTTAGGAATATTTCTTCTGAGTAATGTTCACTTGACTTCTAAATACTTATATACTATGAAATATATATTTTATACTACATTTACAATATACAACAAATTATGTAAAATGCATGTTCAAACTGTATCATTTTTGTACTAAAATCATTTTAAGATGAATATGTATAATTATAAAAAATTGAAATTTTTGTAACTTCATACCTGAATTTATATTTGAGTTGATTGCTTTGTTAATTCTAAAAAAATACATATTAGAAGACAAATACAAAAGAAAGCCACATCTTATTTTTGAGTTCAAACGAGAATTTGAAATGAAACCCATATAAAGTCTTGCAGAATTCTGTTTTTTTCTCCCTCAAAAATACTGTAATGAATAATTAATTTTCTTTTGAAAATGTATTTAAATTATCAAAAGCATTCCTTACATTTGAAATAAATATACTGGTATATAGAAGTGAATATTTTCATTTGGAAAGCTTTTTCATGTAGAAAATGAAAAATATTTGAAAACTGTTAATTGGTTTCAGTATATGTGTTTTGATTATATGTATGTGCAGTTTTTCAGTATATGTATTGTGAATATGCATATACTTATATATTTAAAACTGAAATGCTGGTTCATTTACATACGCTTGTATATTTGAAATCAAATGTTAAGTCAGTGCAACTTTAATTAGCATAGTAAATGTACTAGGTTAGTTAATTTTATATATTTGTTATGCTTAGTTTCGTACATTTGCCATACTGTATAAAAGTGTTAAATTTTTTTGAAATGTAAATAAACTTGATATTCTTTTAAATTTAATTTCTGTGGAATAATTTGTAAAACTTTTTTTCCTGTAAAGAATATATTTTTTATCCTTAATTAATGATTAAAGTTGTTGAAGTGTATCAAATTTAGTATCTGTGAAACAGTATATAAAGATTCTCCAAGGCAAGCCTGCGGGAGAAACTGCACAGTCATGATTGCATACATGAGGTAGATTAAAGCACACAATCATAAAAGGGCACAGGATTGTTATCAATGTATATCATAATCATTATCAGGAAAGAATGTATGTATGATTTTAATTATAGTAAATGAATTACTTAAGTTGAATATATTGAAATAAGAAATTAATTGAACTGTAGCTACATGGAGAAATTTAGAGGAAATTATTTTCTTTTAAATATTAAAATTACTATAGTCGTTCTAAAGACCAATCTGTTTTTCAGCAACCGGTTAATGTCTCTTCTTTCTCACTGACTCCCTCCTCAAGAGTAGGCACCATTTACTTTGCAACTCTTGGTTTATAATGCAGCATATAAACTGACTGCCCGCACAGTAGTGCAATATATTAACACTTCTTTCTTTCCATAGTTTTGAAGAAGGGAAAAAAAAAAACAATTAAACAATTGCTTCTTCCATTCAGAGGAGATAAAAGACAAGAAACTACAAACCGTTCCCTGGCTGTTAGTAGACTGAAGAATGAATGGCACTGGCCATTTAAAGCATTATATATATTATATGATAAAAGTGCATAGGAAACCCCCACACAACAAAAGCCCAAGTAATATTGAGGAATTTGTTGAAATTTTATACATAGTTATTGTTTTGAGTAAATGTAAGGTTTCAAGTTGCAATAATATTAAATTATGTAAAAACATAATAGTAAAAAATTAGTAAATTATTTTGAAATCTTGCTTCTGATTCTCTGCTAAAGAAAATTTTTGATTGTCATACATATTTTTCATAAGCGTAGTGGGATGTTTCTCTCATTAAACCAAAAATTTATTTTTAATTCTTCTCTCTGTTAATTCAATGTACTCAAAATTTTCTGGTTTTGTTAAAGAATTTAATAATAGCAGTTATATATACAGAAAGATATCGATAACTGAAAAATATTTCAATAAAAGCTACTAATGCACAAATTGTTGCAATATATATATATATATATATATAGTATTGCAAAATTTTTTAATTAAAAAATAATTATTCCATGTATTTCCACACAGTACAGTCAAGTCTTTAATCGGGACTTCGGCGATTCCGGATTTTAGATCATCAGTTTAAATCAGGTAAGATGGCATGCAGAAATTATAAAATTAAAAATATGAAACCATAATTTATGAAATAAAGAGCAATTATGATCTAAAGGGTATCAATATTTACAAAAAAATAAAGCTTAATATTTATTTGTTTACTTTATTAAACATTTCTTTCAACGCGCGCATGCGTAAAGCATACATTACGCATAGTCGAAATTAGAAAATTGCAACCAGAAAACTATTTGATGTGTATTCGTGATATTTATAATGACGAGGAATTTGATTTAAATCATATCAAAGACGGAGTACATCGAGATTAAATACTGCATTTAGTAAGGAATTATAAGCCGAATAAAATAAAAACATCTGCCCTGAAGATAAGAATAGTGCTGACAGATCAACTTCCAGTTCAGTGCCCGCCGCGACGTCCCCCCCCCGCAGAGCAGCTTTCGGAATGGTTAGAGAAACAAAGGATATGCCTTTATCCATTTTTTGCAGCAATTTCACTTTTTGTTCGATGGACATCGAAACACGCTTTCGCTTTGTAGATCCTTTGGCAGCTCCAGAATTGGAAATTCTTTTTGACATAATCGAAAGTTCAAGCTTTAGATTATGTAATTTTGTTAGAGCAATTTTAAAATTACTCTAACAGTCTGCAAAAAATAATAAGCCGGACCCAATTAGATGATTAAGAAACAACGCAATCTGCAACATTAACTGAAATAGATAATTAGATCATTTTAGCTTAGCTTATACCTTCCGTTATACGTTAAACGCGCATGCGTAAATGTATATGCGCATGCGCAGAAAGTTTGTAGTTTTGAGGTCCGGATTAAAGACTTTTGACTGTATTGCTGAAAATTGATCAGTGTAGACAAAAAGTAAGAAATTTAGAACCAGTTTTACATAAAGACCCCAAAGAAGTGAAATTCAATGCCGATAAATTTCTAACTATGCCCTATAAATATGCAAAATAAAAATTAAGGAAATGTGAAACTAAAACCTAAAAATTATAAAAACCACAAAATGTATAAAAGAAGAGGATTTCTATCAAATCTGATGTAAAGTTATCAAGAGGAGGATACATCAGACTGAATTACAATCCCCTTCTACTTGCAAACCACTACGTTTTTGTATCCAAAATAAGTTGCTGAACCATTCTTAAGTGTTTAATTATAACAGTTCATCCGAAAAGATGGAAATTCTAAAGATATTCTGTTTTTAAATATTTTTAGGCCAGAGGGCCCAAATGTTCTTAAAACGTGTATGCATATGTAAATGGGGAAAAAAAAAAAAAAAAAACCATCCTTTGGGCATAATTGTAAAATCTGAAGGCTTTCAGATTTTTTCCAAGCCCAAAGGGACGGTAGCTCAGAAAGGTTATTAGTTTCAAAACGACATTTTGCATTCTTCATCTTTTACTTCTTGAAGCTTGACTGCCCTAACTTCCCTCTCTGAAAGCTTTGAGATTGTATTTTATTTTATTTTGTATTTTATATAATATTGCTTTTGAAGCGTGGACTCTTGTGTGTCATTGCTGCTCCTGAAATTTATAATTCATTTTCTGTGGAATTAAAAAAATCAGATAATTGGACGATTTTAATAATAAATATTATAATATTTGAAAGATTTCATACTAGGCAATTCATTTTTGAACTGCTGCGTCGAAGACTGTTTTTCGCTAATGCTTTTAGAGTATAACATATTTTTACTTAAGCATACGCTAGTCGGTTTCCTTTACTGTTTAAGCAGTATTTAGGATTACTCTCGTAATGCATGTGTTTCCATGATTCTTTTTTTTTTTTTTTTCCTTTTTCTTAAATATGCTTATAGGGAAAAAAGTGCAGTTGCTTTTATTCTGACGGTTTGTGTTCTGATTCACTTCACCTTCTTTAATGAGATACTCGTGTAAGACAAGAAAATAACACTGAAATTAAAAATCTTTGCCTATGGTTGGACAAACAGAAAACAAAGCGTTCATTGTTGTCAATCATGCAACCGTGAATTTAATGAACAAATGCAACCATTCAGAAATTGCAACTAGTGTTTACTCTTCTGTGTTCAGAACAAGCTTCAAATGCACGTTTTTAGGTCACTGTGTGCTCATGAAGTATGTTCTGAAATATCATTCATATTTCTTAGAAGAAAGTTATAAATGTTTCAGACTGATAATGTATCTTACGTTTTAAAAAAAATCCCTTCATATTTTCATATCGTCAGACTAGTGAAAAGAAAGGGATTCACTTTTGTCTCCAATAATATCTCTTATAAGAATGTAAAAAGAAAAAGAAAATTTTTTTCCATCATCAACCTCAATTTGAAAGCTCGATAACATTGCAGTTGTTATATTGCAGAAATTACGTGAAAAAAAACTTTTTTTTTTTTTTTTTTTTTTTTTTTTAAAGCCTAAAAGAAACGTTAGTGCCGAATGGAATATCTGGATTATAATGCAAACTCTGGATTTTGCTACTACGTACAATTTCGAATCATATGACCTCTTGACGTTTCTTCATAGTATATAAATGTTTCCTCAAAATGGTCAGAAATACTTTTTTTCCAGTGGTAGAGTGTGAACAGTCGCAGTTTTGTAAACAGAGTCCATTAATCTATACTACGGCCAGATGTGGTGGTCTCTTTATTATGGAAGCACCTAATAGTTGGGCCACCATTACCTCCTAAGAAGGGACGAACAGTTACAATCATACCTTCTCCGGGATTCGAACCCAGCCCCCTCGGTATCGCAGTCAGGCTCCCCTAACCACTATACCGTCTGCGCGGCTTCCGTAAGCATAGAGACACTTATGCGATTAATAAAGGTATAAATTATTTATATTAAAAAAATAATAAAATTAAATAAATCAATTACAACGGAATTTGTTGTTGGAATCTTTTTTTTTTTTTTTTTTTTCCCTCTCTCCTTATAATTGTGAATTTCTAGGGCTGCAAAAATAATTCTGAATATTCGAAGAGGTATATGGTTTTTTTCAAGTTACTCCTTTTTATGGAAACTTCCTGAATGGCTAAAACCGCTTAACTGGTATTTCACCCAACTTTGTTGTTACTAGGGATAAAACCTGGCTGAATGGGATTTTTTTATTTGTCTCACGTACAACGTGAATAGGAGTCCATTTCCCATAAGATTTCCTCTACGAAGTCATCTCTCTTTGGGCAGTTAGCTCTCATATACTCTGATTTTTTAAATCAACAAACCAATCGATTAAATTTTTTATTATCCATCCGTAATCGTATAGGGATCGTTTATGGGAAAAACGTAAAAAATGACTGTACCACATGAACTACTTCCAGTGTAAAATAACTGCGTCTGTTTGAACTAAGATCGTGTGCTTGTGGTCATGTTGCTAACTCTAATTATGATGTGAATGCATGCATACAGAGAACTGAACATTTAAGAAAACTGACTGATGCATTTTACTATAATGCTTGGAATAAGAACAGAGTTAAATGTATAAAATAACTCTTCAGAAAGTAAAGGCAGTATTAAAATTCGCCTGAACGACTTCAAGGTTTCGGTCATTGATTTTGAGGTTTTGTTACTTAGAGTCTACTTTGTACTCTTGTCGTGCTTCGTATTGATAGATGTCGCTTGGCTGGTCATCCTGACGTTTGTAGAATTTGAACGATAATATATAATTATTCAATGGTTGGTCACTATAGATGTATGATCTTTAGTCGATTAGTTGTCTTTTCAGTGGAGAAAATGAAATAAAATAACTGACCCATACTATTTAAATTTTGCATTTTTCTTACAGCGATATTTTATAGTTCTGAGCAGTTGCGTTTAACAAATTTAAGCTCATTAAATAGACATTGCTGCTGCTCAGAAATTAAACAGCTAAGCATTATATGTAAATATTCTTTATATAATATAATATTTATTCATTTATTTCTTTCGTTGCACCAAACCCCTGATGACGATGCACCAAACGATGTAAATTTCACATTGCATTTTCCGTTTTATTTATTTATTTATTTTGCATTATATACAGGGTGTGCCGTAAATGTTGCGACAAACTTCTAGCGAAGGTAGGGCACATCATAAGGATTAAGAATTGCATAGGTACCTATACCCGGAAATGTCAGGGGTAAGTGGTAGCAAAGGTAGAAGATGGGAAAAGAAGCAAGAATGATTAATGTGAAACATTTATTGGACATGAATACAAATGGTGTACGACAGCTTGAATGTTACAATAGATGCTCGAAGTTTGCACCATCAAATGGCAAACATGCCTGACACCGCGGACCATTTGAATACCGCGAATTATTTGATCTTTCTGGAGCAGGTTCTTCCCGATTTGCTTTGACGACATGTGATTCCAACATAATGGGGTCCCTGCTCATTTTGAAATGGATGTTCGTAGCTATTTGAACAGATCATTCCCGCATCGATGGATTGGGCGTGATGGACCAGTTCCCTGCCCCCCCCTACGCTCACCGGATTTATCAAGCCTTGATTTATTTTTGTGGGAAGCTATCAAAAGTGTCGTGTATCACTTTTCCTTGTGTTGTGTCTGAAATGCATCTCGTGGCAAGACTCAACTGCACAGCTGCTACAATCAAAGAAGCTTCCGGTGTGTTTGAACATATCTGGCAATCAGTGGTCCGTCGGTGTCAGACATGTTTGGCATCTGTTGTAACATTCAAGCTGTCTTACACCATTTGTATTCATGTCCAATAAATGTTTCAAAGTAATCACTCTTGTTTCTTTTCCCATTTTCTACCTCTGCTACCACTTATCCCTGACATTTCCGGACATGGGTTCCTATGCAAATCTTAATCCTTATGATGTGCCCTACATCCCCTAGAAGTTTGTCGCAACATTTAAGGTACACCCTGTATATAATATATATATATATATATGTATATATATGTGATGTAACAGCTTTTGTCCGGAATAAAATTGATGCTAATCAAGATTTAGTGTAGATCTAAATTAATCAGACGATAAGTTTAAAAAACACGATCCATTTATTATATTTCAGGAGAAATAGCAGTTACAAATCACATTTCCGGAGTAAAATAAAAGAACTGCTAATAATTTTTGTATGAAGTTTACTGCAATCGTACAAATTAAAGATAGCCCCGATATTCCTTTGCGAGTCCTTTTAAGCCTCTGGAAGGCGAAGCTTCCAAGAAATGACGTCTCGTCTCAGCTCTTCCATTCGCTTAAAATTTTCCAAACTTCTATAACTGCACGTGTAAAAAGGCGGGAAAAACAACTTGACTATGGGGCTGTGGATTTAATTCCACGTACTTTCAAATAAGAGGCAGTCGCCATTAAAAATGAAAATAACATACAGTTAATTTTAAGTGTATTCTTGACTATGGAATTTCATTATTACAAATATATATATATATATATATGATATTTTGACTTAAAGAAAGCAGTTGCAGTGGATCAGCGTTGGAGAGGCTTTACTACATAAAGATGGATGCATTAACCAAAAACTTCCAGACGTGGCCATTTCGAAACATAATTTTATTCCTTGATAATTCAAATTAAAGCAGTTTTTCATAGACAAGATAGTTCCAGATCATAATCAGCAACAATAATTTTTATGTACATGGGTTAAAAGTACGACGTCGTCTTATTAGACAAGTACGCATAGCAGCGCAGAAGTTTTGCAGGGCAGGAGAAGTTAAGATGAATGAATGACGTAATTGCTTGCGAAGCTGTATTTATACTAGGCAGGTGCATATGTACATCTAAGCTACAATTGGTTAATTTTAGGTTTTAGTTCTCTTTGCAAGCAGTGTTATGTAATTTGGAAAGATCCCGAGTTTTGGAGAAAAGATAAACTTAGAACATTAAATTTAGAATAGTCAATTTTGAAGTTGCCCATTATTTCTTAACCCTTTGCGGCACAATATGTCTGGTTTGGGTACACCTAAAAATTTCCTTCTGTACGCACAGAAAAATAGAATGAGAAAGGATTTAGATGTTACTATAGGTTACTCTGAACCTTATTTATTTATAGTAGATGGCAGATGAACACAAACCAGTCCATATATTTTAGCTATGTTTAGTTTTTTAAGACCCTCATTTTTCAAAGAAATCTTCCAGATTTTTTTTTAGTGTATATAAGGGATTGTTTGAAAAGAAATTTCTATGTTATTTTCTTGGCTGTATGCTAATCTCCTTATTCTATATTAGTTTTAAATTTTTATCTTGAAATCTTGCTTAAAATCGAACGGCGAGCCCGAGGTGTGCCCATACTGGGCAAGACTTTAGAACAACTGAGAGACTGTATTCTTTGTTTCTCCACATGCAATCAGTCAGTTCATTGACAACAGAAAAGTGGGTACACATCTGTGTTTTATTTCCTGTTTTTCTCTTTCCTCTTCTCCCTCCTTTTTTTTTTTTTTGGGGGGGGGGAGGGGACATTTGGTTATTAACTAACAAATTGTTGGGGTAATTTTCTGAAGGCCAAGGGTAATTTTATCAGTTAGCTCTTTGGTTTTTCACTAGAGCAGTTCTCTTTTGCTCTTTCGCTTACATTCAAAGTTTAGTAGTTTTGAGATGTAGACGTTTATTTAATTTTGTTTTATAGTTTATACTTTCTAATTGTGGATATAATATTAGTTTATTTTTTTCGGATTTTCGGAACGGATCGGAGAGGGCTGACCATTTCTGAAGCACTGAAAGTGATACACGAATTGCTTCAGATGGTGAATCTGATACGGGTCCCGGTACATGTGCAAAACATAAAATATTGGGTTGTGCTTTTTTAAAGCTGGTGTCACTTTCTTTGAAAAGAATCACTATTAAAAAATAGACTAAAGTGTAAAAACGAAATGTAAATAATATAAATATCATATAACTAAGTTACTTTTTTCCCATTCATAAGCATCATATAATTAAAAGAAGAGCTTTTTTTTTGGGGGGGAGGGATGTAGAGTAGCCTGTCTCTCCTTGGCACACCATAGGTAATGCTAAATTTGCTACGGTATTCAGAATCTAGTGTTTTTTAATCGTAGGCAAAATCTCTTACTCTTTTACGCGCTTCCCAGCAATGCTCGTTTCAGCACTCTTTTCGAAGCTCTATTCAATCGGTGTGCCCGCTTCGGGCACACCCACAAAATTAAAACAATAAGTGCTATCTTCACAAAATTTGACTGTGTACTCCTCTTGGCCTAATTAGACTGCCTACTTTTTTTTTTTTTTTTTTTTTTTTTTTTTTTTTTTTTTTTTTTTTAAATCGAAATTCCAACTTTAAAAGGTAGCGTGCCGGAAAGGGTTAACGTAGCTATCGTATTTTATTATATCGTACAAACACACTCATACGTACATACATACATATAAATATGTAAGATAAAAATATATAAATCTAAATTATAATTTAAGCTAACGGGTAAAACTTTAATTCTCCCTCTCTGTTCTAAAACTCGTAATAACTTCTATGGATTGCGTCATTTTTAGATCATTCTATGGCCTGCGCAGCTCTGATGACGTAATAATTGAGAACTAAATTTTTCTCTTCTCGTGCTTCCATAATAGCATACTACGCAATCAGAATTCTTCCTCTACAGTATGGATCTAATGGCTATTACGCATCATCAGTGTTCCGGCTATTTCCATGTCCTTTTATTATATCATAATTCGACATAATGTAATTAATTTGTATTCTTTGGAGATGGTGTATGGAAAGTTTTCTTATTATAAATTATGTATATATATATATATATATATATGTATATATATATATAATGAAGCAAATTTAGATGTAAGAATGATGTAGAAATATTGATTACGCAGAATGTTGTTCCATATTGAAAAGCAAACATACTATCCGACGTACATTAAATGTTCATCTTCATTTCAATTGACATTTGCCACCACAATTCACTTGGCACTCTAATCGTGCCTGTTAAAGAACATTTACATTTTCGACACTGTTGCGATAGGAAGAGAGCAGGGAGGCAGCATCTGAAGGAGAACAGAGGTAGACGCAAAAGTGCACAGGTTATTCAATATGGCAGCTTATTAAGATAAACTTTAAGTTCCGAATTAGCTACTTCATCAACGCTATGCAAATTATATGATACGAACTGATCTAGAAATGAGGCAGTTCAGGAAGAGTTATTACTACTTTTAGAATAAAGAGGGGAATATCCAAATAAAAAATGAGGTATTAAGATGCTATTGCTAATTAAAATAATTTTGCTTTACATATTTTCTCTCTCTTTCTCTCTCTCTATATATGTATATTGTTTACATATTTTTAAATTTCACTTCTTTAAGTATAAGAGTTTCCACTGTCAAAATTTGAGGGATAATAATTCAGCTTAATTTCCCCCCCCCCCGGAATGCAGAAAGAATATAACCATTGATTAAATTAAATAATGATGTGTTATTAACACCGTTTTCTAGTAACTAAGCTAATGAATTAATCGAATATTTTGATACGATTAATTTAACTATTACTAAATTTTAATTAATTCATGAAATGATCCTCTAGTCCCATTGAGAAACATTTGCTCGTTAATTAACAGTCTCATTGCTTACATCGTCTTCCGTATCACTATAGTATACTTTAAATAAAAGTTCACTCATTTTCTGAAAATTTAGCTAATTGCACGTACATAAACGATCTCAGCCGTTCAAATGACCTCTCTGTAAAGGTCAGAAAAGGAGAAGGAGGTCAAGTTTGAACAGAAATAATCGCTCAGAGAAAGCCAAAGACCCAATCCTTTTCGGAATCATTCATGTCTGACTGAGTGCTGATCTGGCCTGTTCCACTTCCTAATTAATTTCATTTTCGTATTCTCAGCTATTTATGTCAATATTTTGCGTTACGTTGTTAATGCTGAGGTTGTTATATAAAGAGAAGTTTATACACGACTGTCCTGAAAACGATTGGCGAATTCGTCTGTAGTATGGGAAAGGTAAGTGCTCTCTGTTTCTCATTGTACGAATTCAATATAAATTATAAATATTTTAATATATATAATTCCATTAATGTATAGCATATTTAAAAAGTCATCTAATAGATTTGGATATTATAAACTTGAAAGTTGAATGTGTATGCAATGTATACATGTATAATAAAATATACGTACAGTAAAATCTCTCATAACCAACACTCAATTAATCGTAATATCAAAATAACGGCAACTGTGAAGGTCTAAATTTAAATCCGAAATTTAGGCCCATGAGATAAAAAATATGTAATGGAATAATAATATGAAGATTTAAATGCGGAAAACATTTGTCTTACGTTTCTACCGCCCAATGTAACTAGCCTTCTTCAACCAATGCACCAAGGAGTTATGCAGAATACAACGATGAAATACCAGTTCTTTTCATGGATGAATGTGTGAACTTTGAAGGAAATGTTCATAAATCTACTTAGACTCTTGCCTGGAAAGTTGTAAAGAACATTGTTTTACATCGTTGATGGCATAAATTATGGCCTGTGATCATATCTGTAGATGACTAGTCGGGTGATGAAGATTTTTTTGGTTTTAAAACACGTCTTGCTCCCGTATCCGACATCTTATATTTACATATTCGGAGAAAGGTTAGTGTTAGTGAAGAGGAAGTGCAGGCTTGGGTGGATGCAGGCAACTCTGTTCCCGTCAACTCTCTCAGTATGACGACGAGTAATTGGACATTTGCTGGGAAAGCAGAAAGATGGTAAGAAGGAGGAGGAGGATGAAGATAACACACAGGGCAAGAAAGTTATTTGGAAGGAAGCTAACGCATTGTTGAAGAATTCCATTAGATACGCCTAGAAGTGTTCGTCTCTGTCAGAGTATAATCTTATGAAGATTTATTATATAACACAGCGAATTTTAAAACTTTAGTTTAAATCTTAAAAGCAGGCAAGTATTTCTTTTTATCATACTAAGAAATCCGTAAATTTCATGATGGTTATTTAAAAATATTTTTTTATTTTGTTTTATGAAATGTAAAGCCATATGTAAATTTGAAATCGACGAGGTCCCGCTACTGTCTATTAAGACATATTCTACTGTGTATATGTACTAGAAATATATATTCAATTATCCCCCCCCCTAAAAAAATTCTCGAAATACATATTCAGTTATTCAAAAAATATTTCTCATCTGGAATCTGCGAGGTCCCGCTGCCGTCGGTTAAGAGATATTCTGCTATATGTATATACTAGAAATATATATTCAATTATCCGAAAAAAAAAATCTCTTATCTGGAATCGGCGAGGTCCCACTACTGGTCGGTTAAGAAAAATTCTACTAGAAATGCAGTACATATTGAATTATCTGAAAAAAAATATCTCATTTGGTATTGGCGAGGTCCCGCTACTTTCGGTTAAGAGAGATTCTGCTGCGCATATATAGTAGACATATATATTCAATTATCCGAAAGAGACTCTCATCTCGTATTGGCGATCACCCGATTCTATTCGAATGGTGTGGTTGCATGAGATTTTGGTGGTTTTTCTTTTTTTCCTTCACACAGCGTTTTTATACTATTGGTATTTTCAAATTTACGACTTAACACCCCGGAGGGGTGCTAAAGTATTCTGATGAAACAGAAGTCTTAGACGTAAATGGTTTTCACGAAGACAGATATTCCCGCATTGGTCGCATGACGAATATGAAAGCGCAACAGAAGAACACTTTATAAAAATGAAGAATAGAGTATGCTCTGCACTTTACACGAAAGAGTTATGATAAAATTTCGGTAAATCTAAAATACTAATAGTAATGTTTTGACTAATTTATCTAGAATAATGCTGTGCTTATCCTACCTAACTCCATCATAGCTATATGCTTTAATTGTAATTACTGTCTAATAATATACATATCACTTAAAATTTTATTTCTCACTAGGTTTTGACAATCTGCATTTTGTCGACTTTGCTATCGACACCCATATCTTGCTCAGCCAATTATGGAACGACTGTGCGTCCAGCAGCCTCAGGATATTGGGGCTCACATGGTTCTTATCCTTCTACACTGTCTAAGGGCCAACTACGATATGATCAAAATCGAGATGGACGTTTCGGGCCTCCTCCTCTGGGTCCTCAGTTACCGGATCCATTAGCACAGAGTACACAAGCCGTTGGATTTCGTCCATCAAAAATAGGTTCTGAGCAACACAATTACCTGAATCCTCTGTCAGCAGATAGACCATCGTGTGCACGGAAACTAGACTACTGCTTACATGATCATGATTATCCCATGTACGTCAGATTCCAATTTATACAAAGTTTTTTTTTTTCATTGATTGAATCAATTTAGTTTATTTGAGTTGTTGTTAGCTGAAGTCAGCCGCTGCCCTTCTCAAGTTGCACAAGCAGTTTGTTCCTCCTGTTCGTGCAATGAACTGCAAGATGCACGAAAAGTTTACGAAAATTTAATAATTTATTGCTCCCCCCCCGGGGGTCGACGTAGAGAACTCTGCGAAGCTACTGGCTAGGAACTGTACCTAGGCAGTCTCGGCCACGGGGGTAGGAAATGTATGAACTTAGTGGTTCCGAAGGCCCCGGGAAAAATCACTCATTGGCCGGCCTCGGGGTCTGGCATGTCCTGAGCGGTACGGCTCTTGTAGCTGGGGGTGACGCCCTCCGGTTCGCTGGGTAATGACCCACTGCGATGGGCTCGCCCATGCGACTGGCAGGTAGCAAATTAACGACCAATGCTACCTGGTGACTTCCAAGTGGTGCGCCAGCCCCTCTGAGGGGCCAGAGCGGAGGTTGAACCTCCGTGGCTGGTCCTGAGGTAGAGTTGGATCTATAGTCCAACTTTCGAGGTCACGCGGGGCAGAGCAGCCAAGAGATTAATAATAATTTATTGCTCTGCCAACATTTATGTTCAGCTCAGCAATAAAAGAATTGGAGGAGATACTGATTGGTAGAGAAGTATCTTCCATCAATTAATATTCATACAAACTGATTTGTTCCTCGCCTTTTGTCTATGATAAAACGTCGAGGAACCTAGTGAACTACGTAGCGACTTATCGCTGAGTTCAGACAACTAAACGTAGACTCGAGGAAGGGTTAAATTACCCTTTTATTCATTCAAATAAATAATAACAGTCGGCCGCTTCTCTTGCTTACAGGAAAGCCTCTACTCGTGCTTTAACTCAGAATAAGAAGCTAAGCCGATATTAGACACAATTATCTAACGCAGTTGATCATTAACTTAAACTTGCTGGCGGATATGAATAGGCACGTATCACGGCCGAGGGCCGAGAGTAACATCTTCAAAAATTAATTAGCCAGAAGGCAAACACGTGCCACTAAGGACGCCTAGCCCACTCTTTCGAAGTTAGTTTAACTTTCAATAAATAGTACTCCTAACTCATCTGCATTCAACGAGATTCTAAAAATTCATTCTGGTAGGGAGCTGTAAGTGCAAAACAAGAAATGAAAGGAAAGGTTTTTCAAAATTAAAATAACTGCTAAAATTAAAATACACCTTACAAAATGATATAAAAAATTCCGAAAGTTCTTAAAAGTACTATTTTTCTGAGTTTAAATATAAACTGAATTGTATTTTTTCATATTTCATTTATTAGTTATTTAAATAGTTAATTTCATTTCATTCCTAAAATCACATTCCATCGCTAGATTTAAAAAAAAAAAAAAAAAAGTTGTTGTTAAAAACGAAACAAGATTGTTGTTTGACACTTTACCTAAAGAACTTATTTAAAATGAAACTGAAAAGGGCGATAATTGACAAAAAGTTAAATTTGTTGTATTCCAATAAAATTTCTTTATTTCTTCAATAACATTTCTTGACTACCTTACTTCAGTAAAAGTGATTGAACTTGCATCATAACATTTTGTGGAGATTTTTACAAAAAGTTTGCATTTTGTCATATTATAAAACTAAATCATATAACTTAAAAATAATACATTAATGCTTTAAAGTGTTTGTTAAGTTACTAGATCATTCAGAGATTTATTAGATTCCATCAAGGTATAAATGAGGCAGACAGCTTCGAATTATACTTTACCGCAATGGATAACCTTCTTTAATCTTACCTGATGGCATACGTATATCAATTCTGTTAAAGTTAGCTGTAACTTTTCTAAGTTCTTTTTATCTAAAATTTGGTATCTATTTCTAATGATAGTTTATAATCGACTTCACGTTTTAGCAGTCATAAAGCAAGACGCCTATAAAATTTATAAATAAATCATTTGTTTTTCCATATTTATGAAACGTTATTCTGGGAAATAAAGCTGCTGAGTAAGGTTTTCTGCATTCTAAATTAAATTCAAATTCTTGAAGAAGAAATGAACGAATTATTAACATATTCTGTCTTTCAGGGATATGGTTCGGTCTGTTATTCAGAGACATCAAAGTGATATTTATCGTATGTATTCAGAAATGCAACCACTACCTATCAACACGGGCGCAAGCAACGCCAGCTATCGATACAACTTTCCATCGGAGAGAGGAGCTTGGGCATGCGAGACAGACATCTTCACGATGAGGATTGGATGGGCTCGGAACTGGGCAGGTCGTTGGAAAGTTGTTCTAAATACAGATCAGTTTCCCCAGGCAGTTCGTCTTGAGCATTGCAAGTGAGTATTATTCATCCGTATCAAAATTATTAACTGTAATGTAAGGTATTCTTTGTCTAAGCTCGTGTTCCTGCAGCTGAGGGTTAAGATGAAGTATCATTGTTGTTAAGATCAATTATCAATATCGAAGGATAGGTGTATCGAAAATAAAATATTAGTGCATCAGTATCGAAGATAAAGTATTAGTGCTATTAAGATAAATTATCACTTTAAAAGTATCCGTGGGCTATTAAGGTAAAGTATCACTGATGTTGAGATAAATTATCACGATCAAAGTATCCATGTATTGTTAAGATAAAGTATCACTGCTGTTGAGATAAATTATCAAATTATCCGTATGCTAATAAGATAAAGTATCACTGCTGCTGAGATAAATTATCTATGTGTGCTGTTAAGATAAAGTATGCGCTATTAAGATAAATTATCAATGTCGAAGGATACATGTGTTATTAAGATAAATTATCAGTATCGAAGGATACATGGGCTATTAAGACAAAGTATCAGTGCTATTAAGATAAAGTATCAGCATCAAAGTTATCTCTATGCTTCTAAGATAAGGTATTACTGCTGTTGAGATAAATTATCAGTATCAAAGTGTCCGTGTACTGTTAAGATAAAGTATCACTGCTGTTGAGATAAATTATGAGTATCAAACTACCCGTGTGCTATTAAGATAAAGTATCACTGCTGTTGAGATAAATTATCAATATCAAAGTATAAGTGTGTTATTAAGATAAAATATGTGCTATTAAGATAAATTAGTAGTGTCGAAAGATACATGTATTATTAAGATAAATTATCAGTATCGAAGGATACATGGGCTATTAAGTATCAATGCTATTAAGATAAAATATCAAAGTTATCTGTATGCTTCTAAGATAAAGTATTACTACTGTTGAGATAAATTATCAGTATCAACTTATCTGTGTGCTATTAAGGTAAAGTATCGCTGCTGTTGAGATAAATTATCAGCATCGAAATATGCGTGTGTTATTATCATGTTAACGTTTCTGTATGCATTTATTAGAAGTGAAGAACTAGATGGCAAATTTCAAGGTTTTGTTGAAATACTTCTTAAAGTTTAATTATTATTGAGACTATGCGAAATCAATATGCAGTATGCTTTTTCAATTAATTATATGTGTTGGTGTAATATCTTTTTACCATAGCATTTGAAAAGTAAAGGAAACCTAGTTCCATAAATGAAAAATAATCAAAGGAATAAATTACTTTGGAAAGAATTCGTTCTATCATAAAAATCAAAATCATGATTTTCTGTGTATAATGATTTTGCTGAATTTTAAAAGATTGTGTTTAGATCCTTTATATTTTATCGTCTTAAGAATGAAGATATTTATTTAAACAAGTACAAAAAATAATATACTGGAACACTGATAATTATTTTAAGTATATTCTCTCTGTCTATTAAATAGATGAGCTTAGCAATTGCACTGGCTTATAAATCTTATAGCAAACTTACTAATTTCATATGCTATTTATTAATTGTCTTATAATTATTTTACTTATTACTCGCACTGACTCGCACTCGATAAACGAATCTAGAAAGCACATGCAGTAGATTTTATTCAATGTTAAAATTGCTTTTATGATATATTGCTTTTAATTTTGCAGCAAATATTTTGAAATATTTTGTGAAAAAACATAGAAGAATTAAGAAACCTCTTATAGCATATAAGAGGTTTTTAAATACATTCATAATATTCCAACTCATACTTCGATGTTTTATTTTCAAATATCTTTATTTTGCTCTCATAATGTTTCAGGATTTTTAATGGAGAAACGTTCTTTAAATCTAAAGTTTGTTTTACATACGTGCCATGTTCAACTAACATGAACATAAAAATGTTAACTGAGATTAATATAAAAATGATTTTTAATGCAAATTAAATAAAGGAAACAAATCAATAATAAAATAAATTAATAAAAATGGTTCACTTAAAATGACCGAAAGAAAATTTTGCATTGTCGTTAATCCTGTTTAATTTCTAAACATTTGTGTTAATTGCAAATCACTCAAGATTACGGGAAGGAATGCCGACAAACAAAATGTTTAGAGTTTGTTATTAAATCTTTCAGTTCCAGACTTTTTGCTAGTATCCTCGTTATAATTTATTAAAAATACCCTAATTGGCCACATCGAAAAAATAATTTTGGAAAACATTTTAAACCACAGCGTCATGTGGGAAATTGCTGCAATTAGCAGTGAGTAAAATTAGAACGTGCCTTGCCACGACATATACCTTTCTCTCATCCCTTTGGGGATGAAGCAGAAAATGGAGAGTCTCTGTATATAAATACTGAAAGAAATTCTATAATATTTTACCGACATGTGTGTTGTTTAAGAATAAATTAATCGTGTATAAGTTTCAAACAGATAATTAATTTCAGAATTTTTAACTACGGAAATCATTCGCACGAAGAAGCAATATGTCGGGAAGGGCTATTAATTTCGTTAAATTAAATATGAAATAGAAATATATATTTAGAAATTAAATGATGGAGAATCTGCATAAATGTATGCATGTTTCTCGCATTGTGATAAAACAACTGTACCTATAGCCATCAAATATTGAATAACGTAAACCTCCACCGAATATGGGCAGCTGGAAGCTCAAATTTGGAATTTGTTTTATTATCGATTTCATATTTTGTAAAGCATTTATGAGTTTTGGATTAACAAACTCAAGGATTTTAAAGCAAGCAATGGCAAAAATGTACGAAAAAAAATTACCTCCAGCGCGTGAGACTGTGTATCGGAAATTGTAAAGATAAAGATATGCTCTTTTTAAATTATTTTGAGATATTGCTGTTGAATTGAATTTTATGGTTTAACTGCGAAGAACATGATACTTCATAAATAAAGGTAATACACAAAACGTTGAAAAAACGCCTCTTTGGGCGTAATATAAAATCTGAAAGTTGTTAGACTTTTTACTTCCTTGTACGAAGTAAAAAGGAAGTATTGTAAAAACGAAAAGTTTCAGGCAGCATATTTCAACGAAAATATCCATTTTGACCGCTATCGAATGCAATTTAACGATGTTTTTGCTTGATATCTGTACGTAAGGACAGAATAAAAGACTCGTTTCCTCCAAAAAAATTATAAAACTGCTTGAAAATTAATTCTGAAGAGAATTTTTCGTGGCGTCTGTACGAACGTATGTACGTACGTATCTCGCATAACTCAAAACGCAGCCTCAGAACGTTGGAATTTTATATATAGGACTGCTGTAACATGTAGATGTGCACCTCGTATTTTGGTTGCAATCGGCCGCACCAAACGTATATAAATATATTTATATATATATACACTCTGTTACCCGGCTCAGTGATCTCAGTTTCTTTACTCGCATATGTTTGTAAATTGTACATTTTTTCTTTAAAAATGATTGAATTATGTTGTTTTTATCTTCCGGTTAAGGTTTTCATGCCTTTAGTAAATCTGTATGCAATATTTTTAGAATTATCAACAATTTTAAAGTTGTTTAAGTGCCGCTAAGCCTTTTTTTTTTTTTTTTTTGAAGGCGGCCATTACTTGTTTACATTTGAAACAGCAGACTAGTGGATTTGTTGCCAATCTAGAGAAACTTAGCTTCGCAACAACAAAGATAACGCCTTCATTTATTATTGCGAATTAAATCATGCTTAATCCTTTCTAGAATTTTTTCGAGGAAATAAGTGTTTAAGATTTACTTCGTAATTTTTAATATAGATGTTTTGAGTTTTTATGTATTTTTGCCTTCTCGCGAAATGAGAACTGAATTAATTGAATGAGAAATACTCAATCGTCTGTGAAAAACTGTTCCTTTTTTGTTTTGTTTGCTTAATTTCTTTTATACATCATTCTAGCTTTATTATAGTATTTGAATAGAACATGTGGCAACGATTAGATAATTCTATTCTTTAAATGATATACAGTGTCTCACAAAAGTGATGGGACACTTGTGCTTTACAAAAGGAAACTGTAATAAAATGAATTAAAAAAACATGTAAAAAATTTTTGTGGGTGTGTTTCATACTTAAATTTAGTAACAAACTATTACATAATATACATTTTCTCAAAATATTGTAAATATTAATTTAATAAAATACAATTGTTTAGAACGGAGCAAAAAAAATGGCTCACATAAGTGATGGGACACCATCAGATACTACTATGTACTACAATAAAAATATTTTTTGGGGTTTTTATTTTTACTCAAAAGCAATTGGCAATAATTTATAAAACCGTCTGCAGTATTTTTCTCGAGTTTGTTTTGGAATTTTTGTGTTTTTTAGCTCTGTGTAGCCATGAATGCTAAACGAAAAGAAACTTTGCCTGAAATTCGAAAATTAGTTATTAATTTGCATACTGAAACGTGGAAAAAAATCTATTAGGGAAACTGCGAAATGAAACAGTTAACTTGAGTCATTCAACAGTTTTCAGTATCATTAAAAGATATAAAAAAGAATCATATGATTCAGGATAAAAGAAGACCTGGCCGACCATCAAAGCTATCCAATGGAATAAAGAATAATAAAGCGAATTATCGTTCGAAATATTAAAAAAAAATCCAAGAATGAGTGCTCCTAAAGTTGCTGCTGATTTACAAGCATTATATGGAGTAATTTTGTTAAGCCGGAGACTATTAGAAGAGTAATTCGATTTGCTGGATATCACGGTAGAGCAGCCAGGAAAAAAGTCTTCGTAAGTGAAAAGAATAGAAAACTCAGACTGGCTTTCGCAAAATCCAACATAAATAAGAATTCTGATTACTGGAATGAAGTTATATTTGCTGATAAGAGTAAATTTAATATATTTGGTTCAGAATCTTGGTGTGGAGAAAACCCAGAAAAGAATTTCGCAAACAGAACTTGGTGCCAACAGTAAAATATGGTGGAGGAGGAGTTATGGTATGGGGGTATATGTCGTCCGCTGGAGTTCGTAATCTTGTTTTTATTGACAGTATAATGGATCAGTATAAGTATATTGACATTTTAAATCAAAATTTGAAATCCTCAGCAGGAAAACTGAACCTTCATAACGATTTTAAATTCTACCAGGACAATGACCCCAAGCACACTGCTTTGAACGTTAGACTCTGGCTGCTGTATAACTGTCTTGAAATAATAAAAACACCACCACAATCTCCAGACTTAAATCCCATAGAGAATATTTGCGCAAAGAATTGGAATCAAGAATTCGCAAACACACACCCATTTCTTCAAAACAACAATTAAAATCGGTGCTTCAAGAAGAATGGGGTAAAAATCACTCCAGAAATCACAAAACAATTAGTCGAATCCATCTCAAGAAAATTAAATCATGTTTTAAAAGTAAAAGGAAATCCAACAAAATATTAAAACCTTTTCAAAAGTAAAATTTTTGGATAAATATTTGATGGAAAAGTAAGTGTCCCATCACTTTTGTGAGCCATTTTTTGCTCCGTTCTAAACAATTGTATTTTTATTAAATTAATATTTAATATTTTGAGAAAATGTATGTTATGTAATAATCTTTACTAAATTTATGTATGAAACACACCCACAAAAAATTTTTACATGTTTTTTTAATTTATTTTACTACAGTTTCCTTTTGTAAAGCACAAGTGTCCCATCACTTTTGTGAGACACTGTAAATTTTGTGCATTATGAGTTATAATATGAACGAAATATAATACTGTTAAGTGAATCTAGCGCCAGAGTGTCGCTATGGTAAACAAATACTAGAGTGAATTTTAAAGAATGCATTTATTCTATTGTGGTTTTTGCGCTGTCGGCAAAGTAGATTTAATTCAATCCAATAAGTTTAAATGAAATGCAAGAAAAAATGCGTATAATTTAATATTCCGTACAAGGAAGTCATGTGGTGTACACATCAGATTTTTTATTTATATTTTTATTTAAATTTCTCTCCTACTTACATTATTTTACTTTTTTTTTTAAAGATATGAGAACAGATCTTGCCAAATGATGCCTCCATGTGTTCGTTCCTCGTGTCTTCAGCGTTATACTGCAGTACAGTTACTAAGCACTGATCCACAAACTCCTGATCGCGGTCCAACTGTTGATACTTTCTTGCTGCCAGGAGGCTGCTCTTGCTACATCGAATTTCATTAAAGCTTTATAATCAAACAATTAAAAGCATTTTAGATTTGTTAAAATTTTCATCTTAATCCACAAACCTGTTTATCCCGTTTTTTTCTTTATTTCAACTGCGTAAAATTCAAATAATTTAAATACATCGACACAATTGTTTATATTTTTAAACTTTATTTTCTACTCACGAATAATTAAAAGTAATGTATTATAACAGGTAATCATTCGTGATAGAATATACCTATAGAAGCATAAAATATGTGTTGTAATTTGAAATAATACAAATATTATTTATTCATCTATTTTGCACTGAAGTTTGTGAATTTGAGGAATTGACTCGGGACTGTGACTTGAAAAGTTTTCCACGTGAGAGAAATTCTTTTCATTGAGTGAGTTTTCTTATTCGCCATTATCTTATGCCAAAGCTTGTGTTATAAATAAAATATTTATGTATATTATACATAGAAATCTGTAAAAATAAAAGCTTTTTAACCAAAGTTTGTGGCGTTGATTCGAAGCACTTAACATTTGTTACACTCCATTGTTTAGACGATTTATAGCCGCTAGCCCAGCGTTTCTCAACATATAAACTTGCAGACGACAGTCTGGCCATCCAAAGCTTTCAACGTGTCTGGAGTATGCCTGGAAAAGCTTGCAACGTGCCCGAAACAAATTTTAAAATTTTCAAAAAATGTTAATCGTACAAAACATCATTATGAAATGTTCTTGGTTAAAACATTATGAACAGAATATTTCTTTTGTACATAATAATAATAAAAAATCGAACTGAAATTTGTAAGATTACAGTCCAGTTTCACTTAAATTAACTGAATAAGTTAACTAGATTGTGGTAGTATTTTCATCTTCTCCCTAGCTAAAACATAATTCATAACAACAAAGTATAAAAACAATTATACTCTTTCTTATTACTCGTATTTCAATTGAATGTTTACAAATATAGCGAACAACAAGTTTACAAATATAGCGAACAACAAACTAAATTCTTTGATGGCAAACTCTTCAAGGTATTAATTAGACTGTAGTCTAAAGTTTTCAGACTGCAGTTTTTTTTTTTTTTTTTTTTTTTTTAATCTTCTCCTCGCAAAGAACACTGCATCAAAAATGCTGCAATTGTTAGAACTGGATCAATAAAATAGCGTAGCTTATATAAAAAACATATTGATTCACAATATGTATGTTCAGGAAAATAAACAATGTTAGTCTTACGCACATTAAATATTTCATAAACTTTAGAACCTAATTCAAAACATAACAACCATTACATTTTTCTGATATTGCCAAATTCTAAAGTATGAAAACTTAATTATTTTAAGACATGCGCACTTTTATATACGTCATAATCAAAATATGGATTGGCAACAGCAGACTTATTCAAATTAGTGAATAGTTTAACAGGAAAAAGAGCTCGTTCATTTATTAACTTTACTGAAGTACAGTTTGACAGATTGTTATTTAATTTTGTAATATTCGCAGGTATAGTCATACTGGTATGCTAACATTCCATTTTCTCAAATTAGTACATGTTATTATTTTGATAAATGAAATGAAACAAGAGTATATCTTAACAATATTAATTCGAACATTTTCTTCTTAGGTACATAACAAGATAACATTCGGTTTCTCCGCGATGTGAAGCAGTACATAAAATTTAAATTGGCAACATCAAACTTTCGTTTTCTAACTAGAAACTTTCATTTCTAGGAATTTGCCAATTTTCGGTAGGTTTTGTTACACTCAGCACACCAGATACAAGATTAATTAAACTCGCAAAAAACGTTAAAAGCAAATGATCCCTTATCAGCTTTATACCACTTACGAAAGCAACCGAGATCGCCGAAAGCGATACTCAAATGAAAATCACAAATACCACGATCCCGGAGTTTTAATAGGAAACTGGTTTGAAGACCGGGCTCGCATAGAAGCTGAAACAGAGGATATTTTACATAAGTTCTCAAAAAATGGTTTAGCATTTCAGATATTGGATAAATATGTAAGTTTTTTGAGCAAACCTATTCACCTTACACGAAATACTGATGGATTTTTGCATCATGGAGATATTGTTCGTCTGAAATGGACAGATGAGAAAAATGGCGTGTTTTATTTGGCAGCGCTACCATTAAAACTGGAAAATGACGGTTCTTTCGGAGAGCCATGTCTAGCACTGGGAACCAGAGATTCGAAAATAACGGAGAGATCAGCATTTCATATTTTTAGAAACAATAATGATATTTCAAACCAAGTTCCATTGATGTATGATGAAAGAGTTTTAATTTGTACCACTGAAATCACAGGTCGAAGGATCCTGAATTGTGAGCCCAAGACATTTTTTAAATTTGCCAAACAATCCGGACATCAAGAAGTGACGTGGGTTAGAGAACTATCTAGCAGGGGACTGTGGAAGGTTTTACATGTAGAAAAGAATAAGCGCCTTTGGACTAGAGGACAGTATATACCAGTTAACACTAATATTGTTATATGTCATCTATCGACAGGGCAACGTCTGGCTTTAGAAAGAGAGACATCCATCTCTACTTCTTTTGGTAAAGAAAAAGAGGTGTCTGGTCATTCTTATGAAGATAATCACAAGACAGAAGGAATTGAAAACGTATGGCAATTTGAAGCTCCCTTGATAAAAGAGGAAGAATACGGACAGCCCATGAATATTCCGCAATGTACTTTGTAAATTGAAATTTATATCATTGTGCCGAATTTCTTATTTTTGGTGAGGATACTTTACTTTCTTGTATTAGATATTTTTCACGTTGAATCAAATTTAAAATAACATAAGCATACCCCCAAAAAGTGTTTGTTAATTAGTTGTCGTTTAATCTAAATTCATCAAAATTGTATAAGGTTTTTAGAGCATATTCCAAGAACTAAAACTCAAGTTGATGGAAGTCTTTACTTATTTGTATGAATGTGATTGTCTTAAAAATAAATTAATCATTAATATGCATTTTGCAGTTTCCAGTGTTTTAATTGAAATTAGAATTAATAAGATCTGCAAGATAATTTTTTTCCCGTTGAGAAAATCGATATCTTTCTACATTAAGAAAAGATAAAACAAGTAAATGTTTTTTATTTTTTTAATCATTATCACCAGTGTAGTGATAATTATTCTTTATTAGTACTGGTATATATTTTTTTGCCACCAATTGTTGCCGAGTATAAAAAATTCTGAAATAATAACTGATTTCAAAAGACTAAAAAGAAATTAGTTTTGTAAAAAGTAGTTTTTTTTAAAAATATTTTAAAGAAAGTAAAATTTTCTTTTTAATTTTTTAATCTAAAATACCCTACACATAAATAAAAAATAACAAAACGAAATTCAATCTAAACAGTTGGCATAAAATTACAAATATCATTTGATATCGAAGAAAAATTTTCATTTTTTGAATGTAACCGACGCCACATAAATTCTACCAAATAATGACTCTTGCATCCAGTTTCAGGGCCTAAAATTATAACTGTGATTCACAGTGAAATGTTCATATCCAGCATTTCTTAACTTCCCTTTATTACATCTTTTCCAGCAGTCTGAAAATATAATGCTGCCATCCGCGTTGCTTTCCCGGCATAAACTCAGAATACCCATTGTTCTGGAAGAACACGTCCAACGTTCTTTTTTCTTTCTCTAAAAAGACTTTAATGTAGGTATTCCAATTTATTGTCGCATTATGGCTGATTTCTAACTGAAGTTAGCAAAATTCAATCGATGTCAATTCTTGATACCACATACAGATAAAACAAACGGCATTGAGGAAAGAAAGACGCGAGTCTTCACACCATGTTTTACTTCATAATTCTGTTTCCCCCCCCCCCACACACACACAGCAAGAACGTACAACATCATAGAGAAGCGTTGTTTGATTTAAAAGCAAATTACATCGGATGGTTTTGATAACAAAGTCTATTAATATGAATTATTCCTTTGTCCTGAAAGAATCTTATGGCAGCTTTTTGGTCATTAGGTAATTGCCAAATTGTGTAATCAATCCATCGGACTGACAAAACGGCGAAATATGGCAAAAAATAAAGGGTAAGGATATTTCGAACGAGAACTAGAAATCTCGAGCCACGATATTTTAAAAGTTAAATTCTCGAGCCATGATATGTGGCTTGTTGTTGTAGCATTCTTTTCTTCTTCTTATTTCTTCATTTTTAACTGACGCCTCTCTAAAGGAATAGTACCGAAAGATTTATTAATAAGTTGTTAATTCGTAGCAAAATTTCTATGAGGATATGAACATTTATTTAAATAATCCTCTATCTTTATTTATTTATTTATTCATTGGATTTTAACCCAATTCAAGTACCTACAGTGGCGGGCGTTTATTATCCAAAGAAAATTTTAAAACTAAAAAAAAAATCATAAAAAAAATCTGAAAGTTTCAGATTTAAAATTAAGTCCAAAGAAACGTTTTTTTTTTTTTTTTTTTTTTTTTTTTTTTTTTTTTTTAACGTTTTGTGTGTTACCTTTATTTATTAAATATCATGTTCTTTGCATAACCATAAAATTCAGTTCTTAAACCATAAAATTCAGTTCAATAACAATGCCGCAAAATAATTTTTAAATGAGAATATCTTTAGAATTTCCGATACACTGTTCCGCGCGCTGGATATAAAAAGGTTTATTTTTACTCCGTAGAGTGTTGCCATTGCTCGCTTTGAAATCCTTGAGTTTGCTAATCAAAAATTCGTTACAGTTTTACAAAATATGAAATCGATAATAAAACGAATTTCAAATTTAAAGTTTGTTATTCCACATGGCCATATTCGTAGGAGGATTACGTCATTCAAAATTCGATGGCTCTATGTACCGTTGTTTTATCACAATGCGAGAAATCTTATATATATGCGGCTTAAGTGCTTGTCACCAATAGTTTATTGGTTACTTGCGTAATTGTAAGTTGTTTTATTCCCCGTGTAGTGCAACGCGTAACGAATATTATGAGAAAGCTAAGCCGAAAAAATTAAAAATACGAGAGCAGGTGCATTTAACATTTAATAAATAAATTTAACATCTATATATAATAGAATTCGGAAATATCCAAACGGCAAAAACCGGCAGCGCTGAAAAAGCAAATAAAATGAAATAAATAAATATCTTTATTATATGCGACTTAAGTGTCTGTTTGTCGACGAAAGTTTATTGGTTGTTTGCGTAACTGTACTAGCCAATGGGGTGAAGTTACCACGGGACAGAGTTGCCGTTTCAATTGAGACGCAGACAATTTCCTGTAAAACTTGACTTTGCTATGACCATCCATAAGTCTCAGGGCCAAACGTTTAAGCGTGTTGGCATTTTTTTACCTGAGCCTGCATTTGAACACGGTCAACTTTATGTTTCCTGTTCAAGAGTTCGTGAAAGAACGGACGTAAAATTAAAAATAACTGATGGTCCTCCGCAAGGCAAGCTTAAAAATGATGGAAAGTCTACACAAGAAATGTTGTGTACAAAGAGATCTTTGACATGTGAATTAACATTTTATTATTTAAATCACCTTTATTTATTGAGCTAGCGGTGGCTCTTAAGAAATGTACCGCCAGTGGTTTCCTTCATTGTACTGTACTTTAAGCAATTAAGCAAGTAGAAGGGGGAAACCCCGTGGGACAGTAAGCAAAGAGGCGTCCTCGCAGCCTGCCCTGGGTAATTCAGTTTGAATTAGCAGACACCTTTGCTCAAATCATTTTAATTACAATTTATAATATATATATCATATAAATATATTATATGAATATAAAATATTCACATAATTAACTTTCATGTATTAACAAATATGAAGGACACAGAAATGGAAAGAGCAAGTAATAACACAAGTTGATTTTGAGTGGAGACCTTGTAAAGCGATGTGTGCTTCCATGTTAAAGCGGCCCTCGCATAAAACTTTAGTGACATTTGAAATTATCCTCTGTGGCCGCTTTAATAAGGAATCGCATGGTAATTTAATAAGGAATCGTTTAGCTAGGTTTAACTAGGAGCTCGAGGATGTTGCGTACACTTTCTTTTTCGCTCTTATTTTTTAAAAAATATGCAAGAGCCAATAACTGTTTAAAATATTCAGTAGAAATAAAAATGCTCATGCGCATTTGAGTTCTTATTCCTTATTAAAAGTTTTCCTTATTTTCTCTCATATTTCCTTCCCTATAGAGTGTTTTTTCCTATTTGGAAGGAAAAAAACACTCTGTAGGGAACATTGGCAGGAACAAACACAAGCAACTCTCCCACTCTCTGCGCAATGTTAAACATGAAGCTGAATTTCAAATATTTGTAGTTTTACCTTATATTTTCGACTACTTTTCTAGTCATGAAAATGCTTGCGGTTAATTGAAACGGTAAATGCTTCGAGAGTTTGTCAGCAAGAGTATATCAGAAAAAAAAAAAAAAAAAAAAAAAAAAAAAAAATGGGCATCTATAGGTGATGTAAGAATAAAACAATCTGCACTTAAGAAAGGGGAATCTTGCGTGAGATCACATTCTACAATGGTTTCCAAAAATTAACGAAAAATCCCCAAAATAGCAATAACTCGTTAAGAAATAAGCCAATCCGTATAAAATTTGAATATGTTGCCAAATAATAGTTGCTGCAGAACTTCAGTGTGAGAAAGAGTGGCGTTGCAATTGGATTAAGTCATCTGCGAGGAGCATAAAATTGCAAGTTTGAGAACAAGCCTGCAAATTTCGCTATGATACGGAGGTAAAAAATCTGGAATCGCCAATTCATAATAATGACCTACAGGCATCATTTGCCCGAAGAACTGAAATGGAAACTAATCGGAGGTTAGAGACAGGAGAAAGTCAGACAATGTCCAGATGGCTAAATGTGAGTCCTTCTGAGGACTCATATTTAGCCATCTGACACATTTAGCCTTCTGAGGACTTTCGCAACAATTTCTAGCCACAGATTCCACATCAAGGAGGTTCAGTCAAGGACGACCAACCGCCAATGACCGATTTTTGTTGTTATGCGCACGAAGGAATAGAACCGCAACTAAGTTTCAACTAAGATTCTCTTTCCATGCAACCGCCGGAAAGTTGGTATCAGTGTCAACAGTGAGTAAAAGGCTTTATGAAAGGAGGTCTGTACGCCAGGCGACCACACGGTTGCGTGCCACTCACTTCACGTCATAGGAGGGAACGTTTGAGGTGAACACTTGAGAATATCCACTGGGTAACTAATCAATAGAAGGCTGTTGTCTTTACGGATGAGTCCAGGTTTAGCCTCAAAAGGAATAGTAGGCAATATTTGATTTGGAAGGAACTTGGAACTCTTTATCATCCATCAAACACCGTGAAAAAGATGCTCACGGGGCTTGCATCGTAGATGAGTATCTTCAGCAGCAAACGATTCAGCGTATGGAGCGGCCAGCTCGATCACTGGATTTGAATCCTATCGAGCATATTTGGGATGCTTTAGGAAGACGTATTACTCCTCCTCTTCAGACCATTGCCACGCTTGCAACTGCTTCGCAAAAGCAATAGCTGTCGCCACGGAACTGATAGACCACATAATCGAAAGCATTACACATCCCTGTATGTGCTGTATTGATTCTATAGGAGATCATACTCTATAATGAAGATAATTTTCCTATCCCGAACTGACACATCCGATTTGTTCATTTTATACATGCGTTAATTTCTATAACACCATAATTGTCTGATAATTTCTTTTCATGTTATTTTATACCCTTATTATGTGTGGTATACTGTGGGTCAGTTTCTCTAAATTTTACCTGTAACTTTTTGAGTAATCGTTCTTCTCGTTATATTTTTTGCTTAATTAATGATAATCAGTATAGTTCAATACTGAGGCTATGCAAAGATTCGACAACGCACGATTTAACTTGTTTTCCATCGATAAAACGATGGAAAATCAATAAAAACGATGGAAAACAACGTATCGTTTTTATTAATAGCGGGAGCAATATAAGCTTCGTCGTTGTAGCCATAATATCATGTAAATGTGCTTCACTTCAACTCGCGTAGCCAGAGGAGGTGCCCTGGGAGGTTGGGTATCCCCTCCAACCACGTTGCCGAATTTATTCAAAAAATAAAAATTTAACAGAATATTGATGCTTAAAGATTGATTTATTTTTAAATTCGAAGCAGTTTTTAAACTTTACTACAAATAAGAGAAAATATTAAGATTTGTTATAATTTCGAATGATTATCAAGAATTTTATGTTAAACTCAACGCCTTTGGTTTTAGTTATAAAATCTTAATTGAGACCATCGAGGCATAAATTCTACGCAATATGGCAGTGTCAAATTTTTTGAAAAGCTTTAAAAAAAATTGAACAAATAACGAAACCTAACTTTGAATGCGGTCACCCTTTTCCTATACGTATATTTGGGAAAGTTACATACTCGTTATGAAAAAATAAAAATACGAGAAGTTTTGGACAAAAATTGGCAGAGATATTTTAATTTCAAAATTTGCAATTTTTGATGTCATTTTCAACTTGCTTTGAGGTATCGGTTAATTAAGTTAATAATTTGAAATAATCGGTAATAATTCGAAGAAATAATTTAAAAAGAACTTCAGTAAAAAAAAGTGTATCATTTAACAGGCCTTAGAGGGAAGTCATGTGGTGTCTACATCAAATTTTTTCTTTATTTAATCATTCTTATCGACAATTTATAAGAATAGCTGAATTTCAATTACGTCCCATATGCTGCCAGCGTTACATGAAACGAAAAATGTCAGTTTAGAGTGGAAATGGGCGTCATATTAGTGCGCAGGCGCATGATGGTTCCTAAATCGATCGTAAACAATGGCCGCTGTGATATTTCTCTACGTCTTCCTGTATGATTCCTGAAAGTGTCTTCCTTTCTCCCAAGCTCATCCTGCTCTTCCAGAATTTTAAAAGCTGTTTATTGCTTTCCTGGCTTTGGTACTGCAGTAATCGGAGGAAAAGCAGCTATGCAGGAACCTCTGATCGTGACTCTCGTATCCGCAAGTAAGTCACAGCATTATACTATTAAAATGCAAGGACATTATCAGATAGCATTATTAACTTATCTTCGGTGTTGCATTTAAATATTAGTATGATAATCAAAAAACAAAATAATTTATAGTTCTAAATGTTTCTGTGGAATTTTCAATTGGTTCGAAAGAAAATTTTGCTAAGTTTTCAAACTGAAGGTCATTTGAATTTTTAAAGTTAAATTGAATGATATTATATTTTGAATAGATCTCTTTAGAAGTATCGTTTTATAAAATGTGTAAATAATATGCGATATTTAAGCAAATAAATTGAGAATATTTATTGAGTAACACAGTTTACACAGTTTTTAAAGTTTGAAAAGGACTATACTTGGAATTTTTATAAAAGTATTTTATTAAAATTTACGAATTTTTGCTATAAAAAAGTTTTACTTTGCTTGTTAAGTTACACTATTAGTAAATCTAATAATAATAATAATAATTTCCTTTCTCTCGTAAAAATAGTTTATTTTTAGATTACACTAAAATTTTTATTTTCAGAAATATTTCCAATAAATTAAAAATATTTTTGAGATATTTCTGAATAGCTAAAATGTCTTAAAAATTTTTCTGAATAGTTAAAATAGTTTTTAAATGTTTATGAGCAATTAAATCATTTTAAATTATTTCAAAATAACTAAGAAAAGAGTTAAAAAGACTAAAATGTAGGAAATAAATACTTTTTTGCTTCTTATCGGAAAAAAGATAAAACGAAAAAAAAATTATTATTCATCCTTAACACGATGTAATAATTTATATACTTTAGTTACATTTATTATTATTACAGCACATGCTTTCACTGTCTACAATTATCATCGATCTAATCTACAATCATCTATAAATTTAAATCATTACTCTTTATCATAAATATATATTCAGAAAAGGGATGTTAAAAATTATTTGATCTTGAAATTTTTCAATTAAAAATCTGAGTATTTTCTAACGCAAATGAAATTTAATGTCACTATAAATCTTATAAAAGAGGATCAAACACAAGCTGCTTCAAAATAAAGAAAAGAAGCGGAAAGAACTAGCTTTCGAATTTTCCGGAAGGACCAGCAATCTGTTATTAGATAATTATTTTCTCATGGAATTTTATCAGATTAGCACTGAGAAAATATCTTTATTATTTTACTTTAGTAATACAAATTAAACTAGAGGATAGGAAAATTTCAGTGTTATTTTACTTATTTTCAACCAAGTTATCAATGCAAATATAACACTTTACTTTTCCATTAGTATACATTAAATAATACATAACACTGAGATGAGACAGTAACACTATGAAAGATTATTATGATGGTACATGAAATTACATAAAGAAGAATTTTGACACTTACGTCTCTTCGTTCCGTTTAATTATAAGAGAATTAATTTCCACATGAAGATTTCTAGCTGTAATTACGAATATAAGTCTTTATTGTTCCATTATAGTATAAATTAAATAATACGTAACACCATGGTGAGACAGTAACACTATGAAAGACTACTATGATGAGACATGAAATAACATAAAGAAGAATATTTACACTATGTCTCTTTTTTCTGTTTTAATCATAAGAGAATTAATTTCCACATGAAGATTTCTATCTAAATTTTTTTGCCTAGTTTTTAAAATTACGAATTTTACGAATTTTATTACGAGTTTTATCGCAGCTACCATCGCAGATTTGAAAGAAAGAACGTAAAATAATGTACGGATAACTACTGTAAAGGCCCTTATTTTCGAGAGGCTTTAATTTTCGCGATTTTCGCGAGCCCGTCGTAATCGCGAAAATTTAAGCCTCGCGAAATACTTTTTTTCCGTCTCAAATAATAATAAAAAATCACTTACTCAAACTTTTTCACTTACCCAAAATTTAACCTTCTTTTGAAGAGTTACAAGTTTTTTCTCGACAACTTTCTTTCTTATAACTATTTTTTGAATAATATACAACTATATTTCTCGAATATAAAACAATAAAATTATTAGAAGGCAGCTCATTCACTTAGAATACTATTTATTCTGTTCATATAAAATTCGCGAAATTTTCAAATCGCGAAATCACCGATATAGTCATTTTCGCGAAAACTATGGCCCGCGAAAATAAGGGCCTTTACAGTATTTAACTTGCAGTCTTTACACGGATTTCATTGACTGTGAGAATAAGCATTTGTTATACCTTTATTGTGTATTATCTGAAAAAAACTTGAATTGATATCGCAATTCAAATCCTAAATTTTCCACTTTTTTTCAGCAATTTTGGTTTTGTTTACAAACTGTTTCTGTCAGTCCGTAATAAGAGATAGCCTACAGGTAAGAATTTTATGATTTATTTTTTAAAAAATTTAATGTAAAGAAGGAATATAAAAATAATCGAAATTGGTACATTTAAAATACACATGTTGTCGAAATTTTTCTATTCCGAGCGCTTAAATAATTACACTTATAATCAGCGGAACGTTATTACATTGATATATATTAAATTTTTATCCAAATAATTAGAGAGAATTCAGGAAAGGAATTTATTCAAAAAATGGTAAGTGTCAGAAAATATTGCATTCTACCACAAGAAATATTCCCGAAAAGAATGCAAAAAAATTACGGTAGAGCTCTAATTATCCGAGTCAATTGGTACTGGACCCTATTCGGATAATCAAAAATTCGGATAATTGGATTTTTTTTTTTTCGAAGAAAGAATTACGTAAACCTAATTACTGTATGTACTGTATGTTGAAAATGGGAGAAAAAAAAAACAGTTTTAAAGAAAAAGAGGTTTTAATTAATTAAAATGTATAGGCAACACATAGCGTACTGTACAGCACTTACAAGTGCTGAAAATCCTTGGTCCCTGAACATCTCCGTCAAAGTCTGTTTGACGGACACCGTAGCTGCACTTCAAGTTTTTTAGCCAGCCGTTACTTTCTTTAAAGGATGAACAACCAAGCTTTTGAGCTAAGGTCTTAGCTTTTTCACAAAGAATCGGACCCGAAATTGGGTTTCCCATAGAACGTTGCTGCAAAAACCACTTGAAAACGACATCTGAAATTTCCATCTGCGTTTTAAAGCAGTGACACGAAGTTTGAAAGTGTAAGTTTGCTCCTTTTAATGTCTGAAATTGTTGATTGTTCAACACTACGTTTCTGTTTTAATTTTTTTCTTAAACTCTGTTAGCGATTCGGATGGTCGGAGTTCAGATAATTGGAGTTGTACTGTAAAATGAAAATAAGTATTCTATTTAATTTTTTATTCTGCTTTGTATTTTTGGAAAAGTGATAAAGGAAATTAATCTAAGTCACAGAAAAGACCAATCTCTTCAAATGAATTCGAGATTTATTCAAGATGCTGCCTTTGAGTCAGAATTATTGCAGAACTGCACATAATGCGCTCAATTCCAGAATGCAAGAGTTTAGAGAAAATCTCCTTCATATGTTGTTTTATGATGCCCTTTAAAAGAACTAATTTAGAAATTCTTATAAGGTATTTTCTCCCTTCTTCCAGTCCTATAATTCAGACATTGAAGAATAATATGAAAACAGAATGACACAGGGTCACTTTTCCTGATATTTAGCAAGTGCTTTTTTTTATGCGTATATTATGAAATCTGTGTGCTTGTTAACTGTAGACACCATTTTGGATTATGGAATGTCCATCAGATGTGATGCTGAATATATTTTATGACGAAAAGAGAGAATCAGTGGTTTTAACGAAATGATTAAAATTAAGGACTTAAAAATCATAATTTTATCAGTTGAATATTTTTCATGTCCCTATTTCATGTTTATTAAACTTGACGAATTTTTAATAAAGAAACTATTACTTTATTAACACCGATGTAAACTAAGGCTTATTATAAAAAAAAATTATTTCAAACAAAAAGCAAAATTAATAAAAAAATCTGATTTTTTTAGAGAGGGGTTTATAAATTTTACACATATATCTTGCTTTTAATGCAAATATTACAGAAATGAACTGCAACACATTTTTAATATTAATAACCTTTAATGGTCGAAATTTTTTAAGCAGCTATTAACTCACTAGCAATCAAAATTATAAATTCAATCGATTTTTCAATAGAAAATCATAAAAATTTCGATCGAAAATAGATAGAATTTCTATCGACTTTTTATCAGATTTAATATCGTTTTAATCTCTTTAAGAATGCTTTGCTGTTGATAAGGGAAAAGAAAAACAGTGCAGTAAACTTTAATTCTTTATTATTCCGTTTTTTCCCAGCTAGTTTGAAGTATAGCTTTTCTTATTTTTTTTGTTTGTTCAATTATTAGCTTAATTTTGATGTGCTTCTCTTTTAATGACATAGCTCTATTTTTTTTCTTAGACTCCAGGAAATATTGTCATCACTGAAACTTACCTGGAATCCACTCCTGGTATGTATATCTGTATTACTAAATGTACCTTTGCAGTCAACCTTTTTTTAGTTCGGGCAATTTAAACATAAATAATAGAACCAATTATTTGTGTTTAAATTGCTTATATTTAAAAGTAACGATGTCTCTGAATATGAGGGTATGGATTTATATAATATTATAATATGCAAATTAATTAGAATAAAGCGATTTTTTTTCACAGAATTTTATGCTGAATGCCAGCTGACGCCAGTAAGTCCCTCAAAGCAGTTTCTTCTGCTTTAATGTTGCTTGCATGTCTACTTTCGACTACTTGGAGCTGGTTTAGGCAATAAATTAGGATTATCGTACCATTTTAAGCTTGCTTACGTTGTAGAGCTGTTGGAGAAGTGAAAAATGAGCAATGCCCTCGCCGGAACTCGAACCACGGACCTCTCGAACATGCGCTCAGTGTGCTAACCATTACACCATGAAGGCATGCTAAGAAGGCGGGAGAAATACCTTATAATGTGATAAGAGGAAGTTACTTTTGCATATATTTTAAAAAGTCTGCATTCGTTCATTTTAGTGTATAAAAATTGGACATAGTATGCTTAGGAAGGAGAGCAGAGATATTCCATTTAATAGTCACACATCCATGACTATGAAAATATTGCTTCATCTGTTGTTGTTGGAAAATTGGGAGTTTCTTCTTGAATTCTGAGGAGACACAATAAACCTGGATCATTTTCTCCAGAAAGTAACGGCTAATATGGAAGAAAACGTGCAGAAACTCCAAAATCTGATCCGTTTCTACTCCGGTATAAAATTAGTAAACCAACAAAAACTAGTAAAGACATTAAAAGATCATCATATTGTTTATACCTCAAGGATCATCATATTGTTTATACCTCAAGGATCATCATATTGTTTATTGGAATTAATATGCATCCTTCAGATATGCAACGTAGGCTTCTAACTGCTGACAGGAAGGTGATAAAGCCAATTAACAATTTTTGTCATGTCAAATGAAACAAAAACGATTGTTGTGGGCCAACAAATACATATCTTGAATATAAATGACTGGAAAAAGGTTAGTTTCAGCGATGAGATTCATTTACGTATTTATTCTTGATTACATTAATACATCTAACTTTTGTTACACATTGCACATGGTCACACATTACAAATCTAACGTTGTAAGACGGAACAAGGTTGAACCAATAAAACCTCAACGCGTCCAAAAAATCGCATAATGCCCTCAAAAACAATTGTTTTGAGATTTTCTTCAGTGCAAATGACACTGGATGTCTAGTTCCTATTCACGGAATAATGAATTCATCGAAGTACATAGAAATTTTATAATATGGAATTGTGCCATTCTTGAAAAACCTTTAAAGGAACATTTCACCATAACTTGGCTTCTTGCAACAATTCGAAATCTCTCAGAAGGTTCAGCTTGGAAAATAAAATTATTGTGCTAGATTGGCCTGGAAATTCAGACTAAAATTCGATCTAAAATTTGTGGCACATTCTCAAGGAACATCTTAGAAAAATGGATTATATAGCAAAAGAGTGCATGATTAAGATTGCTATAAATGTGTGATTCCATTATAAAGAATTAAAAATATATATGCACAAGACTAGTAGAATCAATACCTAAGCACATTCCACAGGTCATTATGCTGAAAGCGGGTGTATTTTCTTTTAATTTTATTAATTGTCGATGTGTATCAAGGTACTTTCATATATTATTAAAGTAATCGCTTTGTCCCAATTAATTTGCACACTATAGTCATAGTGCTTGACTCTGTTGTTGTCTGCCTCCTAAAATTTTTATATCTATATATCATCATTCTCTAACCTTGACATTTTGTTGGACTTTGTTGTTTTTAATTTCGCCCTAATTTTTTTATATCTATATTTCACCATTCCCCAACCTTGACTTTCGTGTTTTACCCTTTTCTTTGTTTATATTTTCATGATTCATTAGCAGTAATAAATTATATAAAAATGCTAATAAAAACTATAATCTTCGCTCTTCTTTCCTTGAATATTTTACATGATTCACATGTTTTTCAAATTTTGCAATGACTAATATAAAAGCCAAAAAATGTTAAAAGACATTTTTAGCATATCTTCTTTTCCAAATGTAACAATGTTGGGTGATTTTAGCTAAAAGCATGTTAGAAAAATAAAATATTATTAAATGCAAATAAGATTAAAATTGAAGAACATACTAGTTAATTTATTTGCTTTTGAAGGTTAAAAATCGTAGTATAACGTGTTAAAAGGAAAAAAATTATACTATATTACTATTAATGCTAAAGCTGTGTGAAAATTTTAATAAACAACTAAAAGGCAAAAGAAAATTAAATTTAAGAAAATGCGTAACATGAAATTTAAAAAAAAAAAAAAAAAGAAGAAGAAAAGAATAGGTCACCAAAAATATAACTTAAAACTTAACTTCAAATTCCCTAAGAGTAAATGTTGTACACATTTTTAAACACGTGTATGTAAAACGAAATGGCGCTACAAATAAAATTCTTAACAATCTTTACTGAGAACGGAGGCTGGAATGGAACAGGTTTGCCATCAGTGGGCTTTTATATAATTTTTTAACAATAAAAATACCTAACTTTCCGAATTCCATTTGCTTACTGACATCTTGAAACGAATTTCAGTTTCTTCGTTAATTTTTCACCATACTTTCTCTGAGATTCAATTTATTACATACTGTTACGTTCTACGGGTTTCGTGGATTTGGAGTAATTGATGATAACACTTCATGAAGAATGAAAATACAATTTGTTTCGCCAGTATTACACAGGACAGCTCCAAAGATACGTTTACAGTTGTTGAAAAACTACGAGAAACACGTTGAAACAATCAGCAACACAGCCTTCAGGCTATAACGGTGAAGACAATTTCACGACAAAGCACTAAAATACAGCTCCTAGCTCTCGACTCAGTCGATCGCTCTCAAACTAATCTCTGAATTGAAGACACTGTTACTACGTTACGGTAGGGTATATATAGCTTTAACCTACTTTCAAGAATATTCTCCAGAAAACCGCTAAAAATGCGTTCTAGAATGTTTTCGCTCCGTTTATAGCATATCTCCAATTTTGTCGCCAAACTTCGCCAAAAGAACGATTTTGCGCCAAATCTGGTAACTTTGCCTTCCCTTGCCATTTTCTGGCATCCCTAATCCTACTTTGAGGGAAAGCTATCTTACTGGGCTAGCTGGGCATTTCGCAACAGTATCTTATTTATAGGTTCTACATTATCAACATATTCCAATGGCTTTTTGTCTTTCAGTACAGCGCAATGCTTTTCTTAGAAATGAGAAAATGACAGTTTGATTCAGGGAAAATTGTCTTGACGAAAATATGGCCAGTTTAAACAATATTGAACAGCAGGCAATCTACTGTACTTGTTATCGAATATATTGAGCAGAAGATGGCAAATATTTGTTCTAAAGGACAAAATCCTTTTTAATTTAAAAACTTGTTATTTGCAGACGTTCTTGCGAAAGACATTGCTCCTGACTTTACGTTTGCTGTGTGGGACCCTAGTGGAAAAATCTGCATACTTGCGAAATTCTCAGCTTCATTTACAATAACGTACCCAAGCCAAGGAGGAGAACAAGTAAGCATTTCAAAAAATATATATTAATATAATTTGAAGAAATATATATTAATATAATAGCTTTTCGAATGAATCTCCGTTCAATTACATATGTTTTCCATTTGTAAACACTAAACATACTCGTATATCTTTACATTTAATGATTTTTTAATACCAAGTCAGTAGTTCTAATGTTTGGTTAACACAATAGATATTAATTCAGAAGTCAAACAACAAAAATCAGCGTTATATTTTCAAAATTTTCACAGGACTAGTTTCGATGGTTTTACCGAATCACCATCCTCTTTTTTTTTTTTTTTTTTTTTTTTTTTTTTTTTTTTTTTTTTTTTTTTTTTTTTCCCTTCCCGGTTTTGCGGCTGAGGATGGTGGTTCGGTAAAACCATCGAAACTAGTCCTGTGAAAATTTTGAAAATATAACTCTGATTTTTGTTGTTTGACTTCTGAATTCGGCGTGTTATTATGTCTTAATTACAATAGATATTGTTATTGTTATTACAAAGTTTATTATTGATTGCAGACCGTATCTGTAAATCTACCAGAAGACGCACAAGCCAAAGGACGCTGTGGCGCAGAAGATCAGGAACCTATCCTGGAATTATTTTGGCCAGGGTTTCGACTAGTTATGACGTTCACACTGGTAAAGATTTGATGCTATGATTTTTCAATAAAATAAATTTCTTATATTGTTATTAACTAGTAGAAGAATGAATTGAAATTATTAAGATGAAAGCGTTAAAAATAAACTTTTATTAAACATTAATCATGAAATTAAAATTATGAAATAATGAAAATAAAAGTTTATGAAAATATTAAAAAAATTAAACATCCAGTTTCATTATAATTCAAAGAAAATAAATTTATTTTTTAATTATATTTATTTATTTCTATGAATAAAGAAAAACATTTATTCTTTATTCATCGAAAATATTCTAAAGCATTGCTGCAACAGTGTATATAATCACCCTTATTTCAAAACGTTTCTAGACCGACTAAAATGAAGGTCTCGAGTCTTTTAGTGTGTTTTGGGAACATAAATTGGTAGACCCTTGGTAGCGAATTCTCGCCAGGTCTCGAAAGAAGAGATGACTGCAGAAGAAGGTTACAATAACTTCTTGATTTGAACTAAACGGAAAACAAATGAACTCACTTGGTGCTCACAATTTAACCTCCACCTGTGGCTAAGTAACTTGAACAGAAAAATAGTATGTACAACCTCAATAAAATAAAGATTAGCTATACGACTAGCTCCTGCTTTATCTAAACCGCTAAATCTCGACTTGCACACAGCAAAGCCGATGCTAGAATATCAATAAAATCTAAGGCAGCGGTTCTGAACCTATTGACTACACGTACCATCTAACAGAAATTGAAAACCTTTAGTACCATCCCTACAAAGTACCACTACCACCACCACTCTTCAACAAAGCTCAGATTGCATAAATTTACGAGTGTTAGAGAACAAACTCAATTGGGGTTTTAATTTTTGAATTTACTAGTTAAAAATACTTTGCTTCTTTGCGTACTACCCATTTTTTTCTTGCGTACCACCGGTTGAGAACCCCTGATCTGAGGTAAAGTGGCTACCACCAACTGTTCAACTATGAAGTCACTAAATCGACCGCACGGTATAAATTCAGAAGTAACTCGCCTACTGCGAACTCTTAAAACTGCTGCTTCCAACTCACTTAAATTTGCATGTATGTCATTAAATTTACATTCTGGCAGTAAAATGAAATCAGAAGCGAAAGGAAAGTTTCTTAAATTATAATTGGCTAGAATAAAATAAGGTCTTCACAAAGCTTCTCTCCAAGAAAAGTTAGATAGGCTTAGATTTCATACAAAACTCTATTGGTTTCGAGAACGATTGATACAGCTCTCTGTTCTTCAGCATAAGGAATTAAAAAAAAAGGCCGGTTAATGTTGTCAATTTGATTTCCTTGAAAAAGAGAAAGAGCTCCGTCAATAATATGCTGACGAACTGATTTATACTTTGCTTATAAATCTAGGTATAGTCTGCAGAGTCTAGATATATTCTAGTATAGTCTGCATACACGTCTTTGAATAATAATATATTTTTGGTGGTGATAGTATTCGAATGTAGGCTAGAATAATGTATGGTTCTATTTCTTATGCATCCCTCTAGCGTAATGGCAAACTGCACATTGAGTTAATCAATGTTAACGAATTTCGCATCTAGCGCATGCTCAGTGGTTTACCGTTGGCGTGGGAAGAAATACTGGCGACTAAGGGGGGAGGCATAAGCAACCCTACACAAGCCTGCGCGTCATGTAGGTCTTATCAACTGTTCACAATTGCAATACTACCGAAATTTGTTTGCGCTTAATGCATTAGCTTCTGTTTCATTTCATTTTGGTTTATTTTGTTCATAAACGTTATGTTTAATATCGGTTATTTATAATAATTTCCTTGACTTTAATCCAGTAATTTAAACTGGATTTATTCTTTGATTTGTTAAAGTATATACGAATGGAACGTATGGTAAATACGCAATTGCTTTTATTCCTCAGAAGTATAATCAATAAAAATTCAGCTAATATATCTTGTAATGTTTCCTGTTTTGTAATCATTTTTAAACGAAAATTTGCGTAATTTACAATCGATATTTACATTTTAAATAATGAAGCAATTTACAACATAATAAGTTTCAAAATCTCGAGCTGTTTATGCCCAGATAACAAAATATCAACCACACACCGTATTTATTGCGCTCGATTCTCTTCTGGGCATGCGCAGTACGCGAAATTCATTTAACATTGATCAACTGAATTTGCAGTTTGCCATTACGCATCCCTCTATGTATAGGAAAGAGAAACTCTGACAAACCAGAAGTATCACAGTGTCCTTTTTCAATATATCCGATTAATCAAGGTTACCGTGAATCATTGGTTTCATTTGTTCCAAACCCACATGCTCATGAAACGCTCCATTAAAGGAATCTATACTAATAAAGGGATTCACTAAAATACTATGGCCAGCTTTGCCAACTAGTTAAAACCTCTTTGAACACGTATGGAACTTCCAGAGATATCTTGTAGGATGCCATCCATCAATTTAATCATTTCTGAAGCTTCGGCTTGCATTGGTGCAAGCGTAGGATTTCATATCTCAAGAAAAATTTGAGAATCATACATTAAGTTTCCAGAATCTGTACCACACGTATCAGTAGGGCGAGTCAATCGCTAAATATAATAGTGAAAATTCATATATCATTATCAATATTTGTATTCTGCCGCCCAACCGAGGATAGCGGTTAGCGACGCTGACTGCCGTATCGAAAAACCCGGGTTTCTCAATCTGAATTCCGGAGAAGTAAATGTTTAGTGTCTGTGCAACATCTAAATCTAATGTGCGGTTTAAATATCCGGCAGTAAATATGTGGATAAACATCTCAGTCTACATATGCGGCAAGCCAAAAAGTCCTCTCGAAAGGTTAGTAGTAAGCGAAGAGAAATGGAAGACACTCGGGCCTGTCCTTCCCGGGCTGCTCTCCATCAAAATTGAGTGCGAAACTGAGCAAAGTCGTACTGTTACCTGAATGGTGCTCAAGGCTTTTGCCAACGACAGGCTCAATCTCTTTGCCACGATGAATTTTGTGAGCTTCTTCTGATGCTACTGTCAAACAAATGAGGTAAGTTACAACAACAACAACATATTTGTATATTCTGCATAAATATGATACGTGCATTTCTAGTTTGTGTTTTCTTCTTTGGGCAATATGGCAGAGCCGCCATTATTTTTCCCACTCTTTTAAATTATTATTCCTTTCAATGACCTCTTCGTCAAAAGACATTTTCTTCGCAGCCTTATAACTGGAACTTTATTTTTTTGTGCATGAGTGTAAAATAATGGGATATTATTGCTTACTTCCACTTCGACAACTTCTAGGGTGGTACTGAAAGACACATTTTTTAACCCTCAGAAGCCTAAGTCTATTTAAAATAATTTATTGTTTACTGATCTTATAAAGACATAAGGCCTTGGACAAAGTAACTACATCACGTACATAATTCAAAGCAATTTTCTAGAGAATTAAACATACGTACGGAAATAAAAGAGTGTTCATTTTTCTTAGCATTGGAACCTCCCTTTCTTTTCAACCCATAATTACCCAATATTGTTAATATTGTTGCGTGCGTACGGGTTCGTTATGAAATGAATGCACAAGTCCGATGAAAAATGAACAAAAATTTATTATTATCACAACAAAAATGCTTAAATTTTCTCAAATTATCATGCAGTATTACAATATCTCACAGTAGTTATCTTTTAACTACTCAAATATCCAATAGAACATAATTCAGAACAGCTAAAGAACGCTAATCTGCGAATTCGCTACAATCAACAAGAGCAGTTTTCTAAACAACAACAAACTAAGCAAGCAACTACTACAAACTGAGATGTTTTCCTCCTTTTATAAGTTTTTAAAATCACGCGCTAGAATTTTCCAGTACTTTCTCGAAATCAAAAAAGAGATATTTATTTATATAATGCACGCGCTCTTGTATTTTCAATTTTCCGGCTTAGCTTTCTTTTAATATTCGTCACGCGCTGCACTGCGCGAGAAATAAAACCATTTAATTTATAATTGAACTAACATTAGCTTTTTAAATACCAAATACGTAACAATATAATATTATGCAGCAAAATGTCTAATTGAGAAACTTAAAATGATAAGCATAAAAATAAATATTGTTCCACTCATTTAGATTTGATTTAATACAACGAGATTTTTGTACTTTATCTCTGATTTGTTATTACGTTTATTAATGAAAAAGTTTTTTTTAATATATGGTATTAATATCTTTTTTACTTCCTTATACGAAGTAAAGGAAGCATTGTAGTTGTGAACATTTTCGGGTATCATAATTTCAACAAAATATCCATTTTGACAGCTCTCGAATCTATTTGAATGATGTTTTCGTGTGACATCTGTACTAACGGACAGAATAAAGGACTCTTTTTCCCCAAACGGATTGTAAAATGGATTCAGGAGAGATTTTCACCGCGACGTCTGTTCGTACGTATGTACGTGCATATGTATGTGTCTCGCATAACTCAAATACGCAGCGTATTCGAGAGTTCCGTGGTTCGAGTCCCGGTGAAGGCATTTCTCATTCTTCATGTCTCCTACTTCGAAATAACCTAATGCCTTTACAGTGGAGTCCAAACAAAAAACAAACATTGCATTTGTTTTTAATACTTATTTTATTAAGAGTTAAGTTATTAGATGTTTGGATGATGATTCTACACAAGTTCAGAAATGTTATTAGATGTTTGGATGATGATTCTACACCACCAGGATTTGGCGATCGGATTCCTTATTCCCCAGTCACCCTTTAAAAGAGGGAATATATAAGGTATTTCTCTCGCTTCTTTAGCATGTTGAAACTGTCAGCAGAATAGTGAATTAAGTCAGTTTCTGCATCAACTTCAGTGTCTTTTTGCCGAGTGAGACCGAAAATAAATGTTCAGTTTTGTGTACCGAAAAATCGATCTTCCTGCCCGTTGACCGAATTGCTTATTTTTGTGTAGAAACTAATTTTAATTGTAAAAATGCTTTTATCTGTATTTTGGTGTATTCAGTATTTGTATTTGGTATTTCAGTATTTTACAATTTCTAATGAAGATGTTTGGAGTTTTTAAGCATTTTTGCTTTGCCACGAAGTGAGAATTGAATTGATTGAATTAGAAATATATCTCTAATGAAATTCGAGGAAATAAGTTTAAATGTGAGCAGCAGAAAATGTGAATAATTTAATAGGCCGTACAAGCTATGTGGTTTCCACATCAGGTTTTTTCTTTTTCTATTTATATTAAACGATATTATGAGTTTCTAATTATTCAGAAATGTTATTAGATGTTGTATTACAATATTTTTAGTTTTTTAAATTTCATTTAAATTTATTTATTAAAATTTTTATTGCAGGTTAATCCAAAAGATAAACAAGACACGTGGGAGCTCCTGTCCATGGAACTAGTTTATAATACTGCTAGTCCAATTTTTGACGGTGCCTCGAACGGTATGATAAGTTCTTACATGAATGAAAATTTCAAATAAAAGAATACCAATTCTCAAACTTTATTAGTTCTTTCGAGCAAAACATTACACTAATCGCAAGAAACGGCCTTAAAATTTGAATAATTTATTATCAATTTGAATTCGCTGGTTCAGCTTTTCTCACATTTTTTTCAAATGGGGAAATGGAAATTTATTAATTACAATGTTCTGCAAACCATCTTACAGTTGCCCCTTTCGAAAGCAATTCTTTTAACGTATGTTTTCTTATGTTTTTAAAACACAATTAATTAAAATTTCTTTGATTAATAATTGGTATTAAGTAATTAAATTAGTAGAAGAAAAATTGCATTTGTTTTTAATATTTCAAAAGAGTTTCTGTTAGAGTTTGGATAACATTTATCTTATTACCTTATGAGGTATTTCTCCCGCCTTCTTAGCATGATTTCGGGGTGTGGTGGTCTGCGCACTGGGCGCGTATTCTAGAGGTCCGTGGTTCGATTCCCGCGAGAGCGTTGCTCATTTTTCAATCCCTCTTGCTTCCAAAAAACTACCTAATGTCTCTACAAACTAAAAATTATATGAATTGCACAACTCTTCTACATTTGGACGTACGCTGGTAAGATACATCACAGTCACAGTGCTTTAAATCCTTCATTTCTTACCAAAACTAGAGTGGGTAGTCCGTCGGTAGGGTAACTACTAATAAATTTCATTAAATGGCAGCCTTGGGAGAAAATGTGATAAAAGACTGCCATGTGTAATTCTCAAACTGCGAGATTTTCAGCTGTAACAGATTATTACAATTTTTATGGTTTATCATTTTAGAAATGTAGGAAGACCATAAGAGCAGGTTTTAAAGACCATTTGTGGTCAAGAAACGTTGATTTAGTTGATTTGAATTCAAGCACCATAGTTCTTTATCATCAAATCAAAAATTCTTAATAAGCTTTGCTTCATCTTTATGCTTTTGTTTTCTGACATTTAATATTCAAGTAAAGTACGAGGGTCACAATGAAATTTTTGAGATACACGTAGGTTTTTAAGTTATATTTACGAAATTTTAGGATTGTTCAAAGTAGTCTCCTTCAGTATCAATGCACTTTTGTAGGCGAATTTTCCAAAGATTAGATGCCTCAAGCTAGTCATTTCTTGGAATCGATGAAAAACATGCATTTAATAGCCTCATCAATCTCCTCTTCGGAATGAAAACGACGTCTACGTAGGTTCTCTTTTAGATTAAGAAATAGCCAAAAGTCACATATAGCTAGATCGGCTGAATAGTGTGGATGTCCTATCACTTTGATGTGCTTTTGTTCAAGAAACTCCACTGTCAGTCTTTCTGAATGAGAAGATGTATCGTTATGGTGGAGCGTGAGTCTTCTAACAATCTTAACGGTGAATCAGTCAGCTGTGACTGTCTTCTATTCTTTCAGCTTAACCATTTCTTGTAATTCTGAAGAAAACGGCATATATAACTATTTTTATGGCATGTTGTCTTTTCACCATTGGATCACCTTCAAAGACCCATACGTTAGTTTCTTGATGTGTTGGAACACCAAAAAATGGTATGTACGTTTCATCACCAGTTACGGTTTAAAAGATAATGCGGTGGCCACTATCTTTAAATAATTTAAGGTTTTTTTTACTGATTCTGATCCGCTCCACTTTTTGGTGCTCGGTTAAATTATAGAGAACTAAACGGCAAACTAGTTTTTTTTTTTCATATGCACTTCTTCATGAATAATTTTATATATGGCTGCAGATTCAAAGTTAAGTTTTTTTCTGCATCATTTGGTAAGTTGCATATATCATCGATTAACATTTTCCATATGGCTGACACGTTACCCGTGTTTTTTGCTGACAAGACCTTCCTGAGTGTTCTTCAACTCTGTGAAATTCTGTAAACCATTCGAATACGCTAGCACAAGATCGATCTTCATTTCGAAATGCTAATTTTAGACACTGAACGCATTCTTCTTGGATTATTCCCTCTTTGAAATCATAAAAAATCAAAGCGCAATAATGTTCTCGCCTCAACTCCATTTTTCCTTCTGCCTAAAACTTATTCTACGCTAAACTGCTTGCAGTTGGTCAATAAAAACTCATCTGCTAAGCTAAAATCTCTACATATAATAAAAGAAAGAGTCTGTCTGTGTGTGTGTCTTCCGTTTGTGCTGCGAGTAAGCTAATAGACCCAGGGCTACGAAATTTGATACATTAGATGCATCTAGAACCAGTGCACCTCGAAGCGATTTTTTTGAAAATTCGAATAAGAGTGTTTTTTTATTTTATCTTTTTTGATGAAATCGCATCATTTTGAATAGTTTCATTTTTTTAAATGTTGTTTTGGCAAGAGTTTTTCATTCAGTGCTTTGTATACTGGACTGCTGACTGTAGAAAATATGAGATAAAATATTATTAATTATACACGCAACACGCACATCGCAATCTTCTTATTCTGACGCGCATGTATCTCGCAAGGTACAACAGAAAGAATTTCCTTTTTTTCTCTCTCTCTCTCTTTATAAGCTAATGGCAAAGAGGTTTGTATATTTTGAATTATGTCATCTGCAATCCCGGTAGTTTGGCGAGGGGCCCGGGGAACAGGCTGGCTGCATGCGTGTTTTTGTGGTTTTCTCCATGTTAGTGTGTATACGAGCCAGTTTCCTTTAGATAGTCCTCAAAGAAGGTATCCCTCCCTTTAGGCAGATAGCCCTCGAGTGCTTTGCCATAATCAGATAAACCGAACCAAAACCAAACCTTATTTGTTAATTCAATTATGCATTTCTTTTTTCAAAATTTTTTATTAACGTAGTGGCTCAAATATAAGATGATTCTAAATCTTGAAGATATTCTATTGAAAAATAAAAATCTTTACTTATCGCATAGTATCATGCATATGATCCTGGAATCTTGAGGCTGTTCTACGAGAAAGATAATTAAATGGCCTAAATACCATACTATGAGATGAAATTAAGTAAGTATGTTTTCCTTTAATGCTAAAGATAAGCAGTAAATTATCTTAATCTATTTTGAGTAGATCGACTGCCCATAAGATAAATATTGTTTTTAACCTCCCAACCGGCACTGTGGTTAGCGTCGCCGAAGGACCCGGGTTCGAATCCTAGAGAAGGCAGGGATGATTATAAATGTATAGTTTCCGTGCGGCATGGGGGCATTCTAAATATGCGGCGAGCCGAAAGTCCTCTCGTTGGTTGTAGGGGAAGAGGAGTGGGGGACCCTCGGACCCGTCCTCTCCCCGGGAGGCTCTTCATCAAAACTGGGGGGTCGAACTGAGCTAAATCTCCCTGTCACCTGTAAGGTGCTCAAGGCTCTTGCCAACGACAGGCTTATCTTGCGCTCTTTGCCACGAGGTATTTCGTGGGCTTGGTCTGATTATAGGACGACCAAGTGAGCATTAGCACCACCAACAACAAAAGAACTTTAAGGAGAGAGAGAACATTGTTTCATAATAAGATCAGTATAGTAATTAAGATAATTAACGTTATTAAATGTAGAATTTAAACATTTCCCATTTTTTCCCTAGCTGGTAAAACAACTTCTCGTAGTTTGGAAGATGGTCTTTTCAGAACTCAGTATGGAAAATCCTATTTCTGTCCTTCGCCTGATGTGATACCGATGTACAACTCTAAGAAAGAAAAAGTTGTATTGGCTAGAATGAAAGATGCTCATCTTCAAGTGTATGATGTGCATAAGGGCCAATTCTCACAGTGTAAGTACTACAGTAGTTGTTTTCTTTCTTTTTTAAAATTTATTAGCTTGCCAATACATACATACTTGCAAGTATTAAAAGATGTTACTACTACAAATATTAAAAGAAATAGTAAAAATAACAGAGTAACTAACATTTAATAAATAAATATATTATAAATATTACAAAGTATATATAACAAAGTGCGAGTTAAAATGTAACTGAAGGATACGTAAGACAACCTTCTCTAATTCAATTTAATCTTGGAAATTTTGCATTTGTTATCATTCGAAAAGGTTCTGTGTAAGTTTGTGGAGTTCTTCGCTAAGTTGAAACTTTTTCATCTTGTAAAATACCTTCAACTAAAACCTTTTATTAAAAGAAAAAGTTAATTTTATTTAACAATTTTATTTCATATCTTTACTTTTCCAAAAATATTTACACATTATCTCATAAATTTTGCTTTTATTCCCGCTTTTATAATTATTATAAATTATAATTAGTTTTTGTGAAAAATTTAATTCTTTTTAACATTATAAAACTAATACTTAGAAAAAAAAACACATAGTATTAGCACAAATTATATCCAAAGAAACACCATAGCAAATTGTTTCAAATCTGGTAAAAACATACAAGCTATTTAGAGATTTTTAGAAGTAAAAAATCAAAACATTCAAAGCATTTTAAAAGAAACATGAATTTTAAATTTACCTAACGTAATTAAATATAGTTTTCTTAAGCGCATGAGTCTTAGGAAATTTTTGAATTATTATCACGGCAAAAAAAAAAAAAAAAAAAAAAAAAAAAAAAAAAAAAAAAAAAAAAGAGGGATACGGAGAAAACCAAGAGGCCATATTTCTAATGCAAAACAAGTAGTTAAATAGTTCTCACAAGCTGAAGGCATTTCTTTTCGTAAGGGAGAGGCGGGGGATGCGCAGCTATGGAATATCCGAAAGAAGTGCATACTTTGAAAATTGTTTTAAAGTAAAAACTTTAATTTCAAAACAGAATCCCCGTATTGAAAGAAACAACTTAATTTTTTATAAATCGGCAACAAAAGTAGACAAAGATAATAATAAGGATCTCTTAAAAAAACTAAAAAGTATAATGTTCACAATTATTTGCCTAAAATGTGAATCAGTGAGGAAACATAGAATTCTTCTAATGGCAGAAAACGATTTCTCTTAAAATAAATAAGTGAATGAATAAATGAATAAGAAATAATTATAAAAGTGGAGCAAAAGTCAAACAAATTTAATGTCAGGAATTCAGAGAAATCTTTGTTAAGTTATTTATGATAATTTCTAGTCTCTAAAAGGAAAATTATTTCAAAAAAAAACCCAGACGTATTGAAAAAAGTTTATATATTATTAAAATAAAACTTTATTTGAAGGAAAAAATTCCCTCTCCTTCAGTCCCAATCCACAAAGCCATCGAAGAGTATCTCTATCACGATAAGTTGTCCGTCATTCACTCAGATCTACTGTAATTTTCTTACACAAACCTGCTAAAAAACTTATATCTTTAACTCACGTTCATTAAATTCCTTTGAATGCCATTAATAAAATGTATTTTTGGAGTGATGATAAAAACTCATACTAAATCACGCTTCTACCCCTCCCCCTCCAAAGGAAAGGAGAGGACGCAGATCGGCAGTTCAGTGAAAACATTATTGTTGAAATCTGCAACAAAATCGTTCTAAAAATATATTGGATGATTCACTTAAGCGTGTACAAACTTCAGGAAGGAATAGATCACTCAAAGCGCAATTACATAGCAATGTAAGGGGCGAAAAAGCAATTCTTATGCGCTAATGTGCAGAGAAGAAAACACAAGAAATAAAAAAGAGAGTTATGTGAATTATAATGCTTTAATCAGCAAATCGTTATAGTTGCGATATTCAGATAGATATTCAGAGTTCAAAGTAAATGTTCGAAGTTACAGCCGCCAGCCATGATAAAAGCGTGACACCAGCGCAGCACAGAATCACGGACTTGTTGGAATATACCTGGAGTCTCATGGATGATCGAGCTAGGTACGCTAATGTGCTAATACGCTCTTATTCACTGGCCACGGGTGTTTCGTACACCAGGCTTTTCAGGTAACACCAGAAAAAGAAATCTAGGTATGACAGGTTCGGCGAAGCGTGCAAGCCAATGAATATGACCACCACGATTAATCCATCTTTGACCAAATCTTGAATTCAAGTGTTATCGAACGGAAAGAGTAAAATAGGTAGGGGATCACAATGCCGGAACCACGCATCGTTTCGTCGTTTCTGATAAATGCTTTGCTCATCTAACTAATCCTGACAAGACTTCCTGCAAGAAAATCTTATAAGACCATCTGTCCAAACGAAAGGCATGAGATTTGGGTCTGTTAGATATCACCAACAATGTCCGTCCAAACATTTACGGAAAACCAGCAATGTGCTGCAGGTGCTCAGGTATTCCTGGAGTTTGCCACTGCACATACATGTATTTTACATGCGTTGTAGCCGCTTTTTCTGCTAAAGTATGAAATGAACGCCGTAAAGTTCTCTGCTAAGTAAAGTCGGTGAACAAGATAGCAGATAGAAAATAGGGCTAAGTCGCACACTTCTGCTTTTACCATTCAGCAAATGCAACTCGCGGGCATTGATCAGCAAGACGCAGTTGCTATACGCGCTGCTTTTGGTACAGATACAAGTGGTTCGAGTACAGGATTCTCCAGACGATGGCTTGGGATCAGCGAGATTTGGAGAGATCGCTCGAGCGCTGACAAGAGGATTCCTTTCTGCATAACAGACCACCATCCCCTTATTTCAAGTTTTCGTGTCGTTCTTTCTCGATTCCATTGACTTGTCTCGTACCTCACAATCTTCAAAGTAGCCGGGCAAACATTGAGTGATACAGAATCCGCCTATTCGGGTAGCGCTCACTGTTACAGGCACACAGCGGCTCGTCCATTACAAAGTGCCACTCCATATGTTAGATGCATATCTGATAACTCAGAATTACTATAACCTATCTTATTTCCTCTACGGCTGATTGCTGAATTCTGTGCACGCAGGTTTTATGCGCCCTCTAGCATGCTACGAATGCTTTTCGGGCCCTAAATTGCTATGCATTTCCGAATCGCCTTTGAGGAACTTATTCCTACTTGAAGTTTGTACACATTTAAGCGAATCCCCCTGTATAAACAACCTCTATATTTCCGTTCCTAAGTTTAAAATTTCAGTTTTAAATTATTTTTAAATCTCAAAAATTTCGAAATGTGTAACACTTCGTACCTTTCAGAAAGATATTTAATTACCACTATTAAAAATGTAAAAATGTTAATTATTTAAAGAAAGTAATTTTATTCAAAATGGAAAAAAATAACTTTTTTTTTTTTTTTTTTAAATTTAGAGCTCTGATATTCCCGCCCAACCGGTATAGTGGTTAGCGTCGCTGACTGCTGTGCCGAAGGGCCCGGGTTTGAATCCGAGAGAAGGCAGGGATGTTTGTAGATGTATAGCGTCCGTGCGGCATGGGCGGCATCTAATATGCGAATCTTTTCAGAGGTGGTGGAGGGGAAAGGGTGGGATCTCGAACCGTCCACCGGGGGTGATCTCTGTCAAATTGGGGCGATTGAGGTAAATCGACTGTCACTAAGGGTACCAAGCTGTTACCAACGAGGCATAAACGAGGGAAGATCACATAGAGGGCCAGGGTTTCACAATGGTTCAAGTTTAACATTGAACTAATGATCTATTATGGTCTTGTAATCTCGAAATGGCCACGAAAGTCATATGTATACAGACTCGTATAGTGTGCTAAAAGCGTTAGAAGCATTCCGACACTAAACTTCTGTAATAGTGGATGTCTGAGAATAGTAACTTAACGAGTGGTGGATATGAAATCTGTATGCTGTGTTCCAGAACATGAGAAAAAACGGAACTGAGTGGGGATGTCACAGCGAAATCTGCTGTTGAACCGTCCAGTCACCTCATCCCTTTCAGAGATATCCGTTATGTTATCAAAGAAAATATCCGAAAAAAATGGCAGCAAATTTGGGATGTTCAAGCTGACAGCAAGCTGAGAAGTGTAAAGCCTAGAATTGACTGTTGGGATTTTAATAGTAATCGAAAGGAGGAAGTTCTTTTGGCTCGCCTTAGGATTGGTCACACTAGAGTAACTCATAACTAATCTTCTGAAACCTGAAAATGAGCCTTCGACAGAAATATTTTAATAGCTGTGACTTACCTCTCGACCGTTTAATCGGAAGAGAGGTCAATTGTAATTTATTTTATTATGTAAAAGACACTGGCTTTTATTATCTAATGTAATCTGTTTTGAAGATTGAGTATTGTATTTTAATATGTGCTTTTACCTCGTTTTTATATGACTTCATCCTCTGGATTTGGTTAGCAATTTCAAAGCATCATTCATTCTGATTTCATCTACCTCGTGTTTGGCGCATAATAATCATTTTTAGTTTTGCGCCAAAAAATCTCACTCACCCTTTCCCCGAGGAATTTCGTGGGCTTGGGATGACTTTAAATAAGACAGGTGAGACAAGTGAGCGTTAGCAACAACACCAACACTGATACTGCGTGAAATTCAAAAGGCTAGGGGGTAAAATCCCAAGTCTCTATTTCCACTGCTGCGTTTCGAAGTTTATATTTGAATACTGATATTCAGACGACATTCAGTAGAATTATTTCAAAATATAAGCAATGCAACATATAATGTTTTTACGCTTGATAGAGAGTAAACATATTTAGATAATATTTCTAATGCAATTTCCCCCCCTTTTTTTCTTTTTTCTCTTTAGTTCAACGTTGCAGTTTAGTAAGGATAGGAGGGGTACCAGAACCGTTCGCTCAAGACCAGACTGTGCCCATTGCTGTGGGCAGCACATTAGCAGTTGTATCAGTTCTTGTGGTCATAGGATACGCCCTATGGCGAAATATGGCTGTTAGAAAGACGGAATATGACACAATGGAATGACTGAACAAAAAATATTAATTTCAACGAATATTGCAAATGCAAGCCTGAATACAGTGTGTTTCGAGTACATGGTAAAAATAATTTAGATTTTCCTATATTTATTTATTTATCGTCAAACAGAAAGAATCCGGTATTAATAAAAACTAATTCTTCATATGTACGGTATATAAAAATAGAACACAAATTTAAGCCCATCTAATAAGATTTCTTTTTAACATTAAAATGTTATTTTTACTTGTTCACTCCCAGTATATACATAAAAATAATCTATGTAAGTATGATATAGAGTTTTCCTGTTTCATTTTTAGTAAAATTTTAAAAGAGCGAGTATTTCGTAGCAAGTTGAGGTTTATTGACCTCAGGAAATAGCAGAGATGGAATTTAGCAAAACGTTCTGAATTACCACCATTAAATGTAATGAAAGTAATGAATTACCACCATTAAACCACCATATGCCCATGCAGGTTTTTGAAAAAATACATTCCTTTTTGATTTCTTTAATCTCTGATAGATTTAAGAGTTTGCAGCTATGGTTAAGTGCTGCATGATAATGAATTATTTTCATTTTCTTCTTAGATGCAGTCACAGTTAACCTAGAATTCAGTAATCTAAGATTAACAATGCGTAAGATAAAACATCAAAAGAATATCACGATAATATTAAAAAAAACTACAAAAAAAAAAAAACAAAAAAAAAAGGATGGAAAGAAAAAGATGAAAGAGACTTAGTAAATCGTTAAACTTTAAGATTCCTCCCTCTTAATTCCAATATGCATGGTATGTGATATTTAATATTTAAATTAGATACGTTATCAATACAATTCCTTTGAAACACAAAAAAGATGAATTAATAATAATAACAACACATTTCGAAAATCAGTTTTTTTTAATTTCCTCATATGTTACTAAGCCTTTTTTAACTATAAATATATATATATATATATAATATATATATAAATTTCATACAAAAAATTCATCGCTTATAGTTAGTTGCTCATGATTTTGAGTCTAAAAATATGCTTTATAAAAGCTGTTTACGAAAAGGAAATTCACTTTCTTATTAACTGAAAGGAGAAAATATAATTATTATTTATAAAATATGAGAAACGAGGAAGCTTATTTTTTTAATTAGACAACAAACGATAACTGTACAAAAACAAAGAAATTGGCTTAACTTTTTGTACAGTTATGTTACTAGTTAAGTTACGGTATTTCTATAACTGAAATACGTAAATCGTGATAACTTTGAAATGAATTATTTTATGATAGTTCAAAAAAAATTTCAATGTTTCAACACTTTTTTAAAATAACATATGCAGCTGGGGGGGGGGAAAGAAATTCATCAGTAATATGTTGCTGAATTAAGTATTAAAATAATAAATAAGTTAAACACTTTTTATGTATTGTAATATCAATAAAAACTAATAACATCTATATTAATGATGAAGTCTAACTGAGTTTGAAATAAAAGGGTGATTAATTCCAAAGATAGTATACCGAATAATTTGCTAACATTCTAACTTCCGGTCTACAAAGTTCTTCCTTAAAATGGTTCTTATGTAAAGATGGCAGAGTCAGGTTTTTTCCCTCCCCTTAATGATTGATTTTATAAGAAATACTTCAAACAGGTATTGAGGAATTATTTTTACCTGCACTTTTTTTATTATTTCATAATGCCAAAATCCTTCTTCAGAAAGGTAAATTATATATTATCGAGTCATTTGTCAATGTTTCATGGCAGCTACTACTACTACTACTACTGCATATTAAAAGTATGTAGAACTGCTACATATAAGAAACTACATATTAAAAGAAAATTTGAACTTTTTACGGCCTATCTAGTTACTGCATACTTCTGAAGACTACAAAATTTAACTCTTATGGCATTCACAGCTTCAAACTGTCTTCGCGCCATTTTCATGATGCCTCACTACTGCTTATCCTGCGTTCTAGCTATATTGCGTGAGTTATATGGCAAATGCACTCACTGCATTTGCCATATAATTCACTGCACCTGCCTGCATGCTTCAATTTAATGCCATTGCTTATTACTGCACAATTTTTATGATGAACGCCTACTTTCGTAAGTATTAAGATGTGCCTGCTCACCAGCTGAATTTCTTCACCACGGGTGTTGGTACTTCTCTAGTACCATTTATTTGGAAATATCTTTGCCTAGTGCACTTTAATGCGATCTACTGGCGAAAACTCTTTAGCAGTTAAGACCAGAAAAAAGTGTCATAAGTCATAATAAGAAAATTCAATAATTTATGAATAAAACTGAAAATATCGGGAAGTCTTAGCTCATATTTAAAATAAAGTCTGAGACTTAAGTTACCCTTTTAAAATTTTCATAATCTTCTGTGATGAAACAATATAAAACTAGGATTTTTTAAAAATATACTAAAAAAAAAATAAGCTTTCCTAATTATGATCAAAAAGTCCTTAAAGCAACAAAATATCATTTGCAATATATATTTTTCTTTTAAAAAATTATTTATTCTTTTGATGTTTAAGGAATTGAAATTTAAATTGCATAGTTAATTTGCTATAACTGTTGACCATATGTTGGCATTCTTAATTTTTGGCTAAATTTGCACTGTTAAGAGTTATATACATTTCATTATTTTGATTATATATATATATATTAATGTAATTACATAACAGTGTTATTATGCACTGTATAAAATTATATATGATTAACAGTTCGCTATTTTTAATTTTAAAGTTATCATTAATATAATTTTTTTAAGATAAGGAAACTAATACTTCTCAACTAATTATTAAAAGGTCACAAACATTAAATTAACAATTTTTATATGAAACATTAATGTGTTTATTACTTACAAAATACGTCAAATTTTAAGTATCAAATGATACGTATAAAATATTTCAATATATCACAAAATTATATCGTTTTAATTTATGTACTAATAGGTGTTTCATTGTGTAGTGTGAGTGTTAGTCCCAAAAGCCCATCACGCAACATTATATATATATATGACTTATAAAAATTGTACAGTTTAAATTTATTTCATAATAAAAAGTATTACGAGATATCTCTAATTCAATTACTGAAATAAATTTAAGAAGAGCATAAGTCACTCCATTAAAGATTCCATGTGTTAAAGGAATTATTTCATAATATACTAATTTAATTTTCTCTGATACATTTCTGCACATATTTCGAAAATTTAGTAAATTTAGTTTTAAATATGAGAACTATTTTCGAAAAACTTTTCATAACTCCCAAGAGAAACACATGCTATTTTATATTTCTGAAATAAAAATAATTATATGCTGCATGAATTTAGAGATCCTCTTGAGAACGTAAAGAAACTTTTGTCGTTAGCAAATGCAGACTGCTACAGGCATTTTTGTCCTAAAATACGGCAGAGTTTTGTCATTAAGTTTAAATATATAATCGTCAAAATTTATTGTTTCGAAAATTTTAGTAATTATTTTCGAGGTATTAAGGATTTAATCATTTTATTTATCAAATTGAGAGTACTTTTTTTCTTACTTCCATAATTACAGATTAAAGACTTAAAAAAAATTACCTAATAAATAGCAAATCAAAATCTGAAAGTTTTCAGATTTTATATTACAACCAAAGGGGCGTATTTTTAACGTTTAGTTTGTTACTTTTATTTATTAAATATCACGTTCTTCGCCCTTACGCCACAAAAAAACTCAATTCCACAGCAATATTATAAAGTATTTAAAACAACATAGCTTTCGAGTTTTCGATAGACAGTCTCGCGCGCTGCAGATTTTTTTTTTTTTTTTTTTTTTTTTTTTTTTTTTTGTGTGTGTGTGTGTGTGTGTGGTACAGTGTTGCCATTGCTCGCTTTGAAATCGTTATGTATGTTAATATGTTAATCAAAAATTAGTTCAAGTTCTACAAAATGTGAAATAGATAATAAAACAAATTCGAAATTCAAAATTCGGTCTTACAGGTGCCCATGTTCGGGTGGAGGATTAAGTTATTCCTCATTCAGAATTTGATGGCTCTAGGTACCGTCATATTTTCAAAATGCAAGAAACATACATTCATGCAGATTCTTCATTGTTTAATTTCTTTGAATATAATACAGGACTATAATATTTGGTGCCAACAATTTAAAAAGTGATTCGTTGTTTACAGTGAAACGCTACAAAATGCCGCTTTGAGACTAATAGCCCTTCTGGGCTACCGCCTCTTTGGGCTAAAAAGAAAACTTACTTTTAAGAAATGCAATTACGTCTTCATTTAACCTTCTTTTCAATCTAATGGATATTTTATTTCTAACAGATGGATAAATTAACGTAACGAAATAACGTAAAGAAATTAAGTCATAGAAGACAGTTTGCAATGCTTTAGACGGGAGATATGACTTTTGATGACATACGTCCATACACACACACAAAAAAAAAAAAAAAAAAAAAAAAAAAATCGGCATTTGGTTTTTTTATTTAAGAAGAGGAAGGATTCTGAAGAACAAGAATTAAAGAAAATTGCATTGCATCAGTTGTAATGGATAAGAAACATCAACTATTGGTCCTGCACTCGGGGCAATCGAATAACGGGTCTTTAGAAATCGAAGATTCTGAAGATTTTCGTTTTCTAGGGTAAAATTTCTTTCGTTACGTATATGCAATGGCCGTTCGCAAAATGTAAATGTTTACTCATTAACGCACAAGAGGCAGAAAAATAGGTATAGATTTAAGAATAATAATTTTACACATAAGAACTGAAAAAGATATTGGGAATTAAATGTACTTTTTCATTAATAACACCACTTTAGAAAGGTGCCAAAATGTTATGCGAAACGGTTTGTCTAGTAAACATTGTTTACAGTCTGAAGCTGTTATTAGCTGTGTGTTTTTATGTTAAGTGAGAAAAAGTTTACTTCAGCATATTCTTACAAATTTACGCATCCAACCTTTAATTATCAGCAAGCTTTGTATACATTAAACTTTATTCTAGCAATCTTCATATTCAAATCTACATATTTTTTATATTTTAATAATTGAAATACATGCATTTCCAATGATGATAATCCATTTCAGTATTCATATATTTCAAAGACTCAATACATGTATTTAAATGTTTATTTACCCATTCAGTTAGCCTACTTTTCCTTACAAAATAATGAAATTTTAGAATTGTCAAGTAAACTAAAAAATACATTATATCTCTCCTCCCCCCCCGCCCTGAATGGCAACAGTTTTGCATTTTGGAAACAAAGCCTTCCTAAAGGGGCGTTACTACCAAAGAATCTCTAATCTTAGAGATCTAGAATCTTAGAGATTCTTTGGAATCTCTAAGAATCTCCTTAGAGATTCTTTGTTACTACCAGAAAAGAATCGAGCTAAGAATAAAACTTAGGAATATGAAGGGGAAAAAATGAAGTAAAAAGCTATTAACATTTCTGGAAATTTAAATCTGAATATATGAAAGACAATGAATTTAATCTTCAAATGATTAAATTTTCATTTAATCTTCTTTTTTGATTTAATCATTTGAAGATTAAATGAAAATGTTCTTTATTTCGGCGATTTAATGCAAAAATGTATTCTTTCTATGTAATTAAATGTTTAAATATTGTGTTAAAAATTGCATTCCCTGAACTTGCAA